GCCCCGATAGCTAGCTGGTATGATAAAGACGGCAGCTGCAGCGGCCACCACGCCAGCAATTGCACTAATGGAATCCCAATTAGTCATGGCGAAATCTTTTGAGACCAATATGATGAGAGGAATCGAATTCCAGTATTTTGGAGAAGACAAATCGTAAGCCAAATTCTATGAGGGGAGACTTTGCACTGTAGGATCCGAAAAGCAAAATATAAAGCTCAAGATGTAGAATTATCGCGTGAGAAGGCTAGGACCGGTGTACGGAGTTGGCAAATTTGCTTTGTGTACCTCAAACCACAGCCACTGGGCTGTGCTGACATGAGTGTGAGCATCTCATTGGCTACAATGTATCACTGCCATCTTTGCTGAGGATAATAACACTTAACTGGCTTTATCCATGATGATTACTGGTGGTGAGGGCATGAAGGAAGGCGAGCCGCAACCTCCGGATGTGCAAACAGCGGGGGCGGTGCGGGCACTGCTAGCAGCACAAACGACACATTCCGGACCCACGCCATGCGCGACAGTTATTTTTGAGTGCGTCTGGAGTAGGCATAGTGCTGCGATTAGTTACGATTCATACCGTATAACGTCAGCATCTCGATATAACTGGAGCATCTCGTCAAGTCCTGAGGCTTTCAACGGTCTTCTTCTCTCCCCGGCGAAACTGCCGGCATCCACACTCACTAAATCAATAGATTTCTAATTGGAAGAGAATAACACTTGTCCCGTATACTTGGCTTGTAGCTCTCTAACAACTTTAACAGAATCCTGATTCCCCGTTTAAACAGGTGTCATAGCTAAAGCGGGGATAAGTAGTGCCGAGGAAACGATAGATAGAGTGGCCAATATTGTATATATCTACGTTAGATATTAGTGTTATGAGAAAACAATGGGTACAGATTTGTAATACATTTACAAAATAGAAATTTTGGAGGTCTAAATCACGGAAAGTATCTCGCTATAGGGTACATCTTATGAGTTAGAAATAGATATTAGTTAGACACTAAAACTTGAAAACTATTTTCTACGCGTTGAAAATTCAAAGAGGAGAATGTTTCACACTGAGTTCTTCTTTAGGAGTTAGGTGTTCCTTTTCGTTGTAGAGAGGGTGAGATTTGAACTCTTTACCTTGCCAATTCCTTGGCACTATGGCAAAAGAGTATTTCCGAAGAAAAACCACTACGTCACCCCTCTACTGCCTTAGATACTTCACCACCATACACAGCGTCCGCTCAGCATCTAGGTGCGCTTTCAAACCAATCACAATGACTCAAAACTACCACATCAGTATCGGTCCCTTAGGGTATACCACCGAGAAAAAGTGTCATATGACAGTCTTGCGCGGCCATGCGCAAATTGTTATTAGAGTCGAGATCATGCGGGTAAAAGGCACAAGCTTGGGTAAAAAACTCCTACAACAGCTGGAGTTGTGGAAAGTGGGCACATGTAGCAGGGCCAATGATAACTTACTTGTCGACCCGATTTATCAACACTGCCTGCCTCTCATTGAAAAACTGGCTCCACAAACGCTACTTCAGGACCTTAGTTTGGAAGGCTTTATCCACTCACCTACCTACAATTTAGAGCTTATCCACGAAGGTGTTGATGGGGATGTACGCATTGAGGGTGAAGACGAGTGTCTATACACACCGGCCTTCTTTACTTCCCCTATGCGCACCACCGACTTGCCTCAACTATGCAAAGAAGTTCCGTCCTTCCAGGCAAGCGATATCTGGATAGCGCCCATCGTGGAGGAGGGAAGGTCACTCGATTCAATTCAAGGAAGAGTCGTGACGGCGGAGGGAGTTCCCCTGTATTTCAAACCGCGGGCGGAGATGCGTGAACCAGAGTTCGAGCGTGAGCTCTGTACTCTATGGCGTATCTACAAAGCTGGTCTGACAACCCGGCTCCGAGTCCCTAGACTACAAGGCATCGTGGTGTCGGGGGAAACAACAATTGGCCTGCTAATGACCCTGGTTACTTCATCCGAGATAGGGACCCACTTGCGGAGCCCTGGCCTTCAGGATAGACACGAATTACATAAAAGGTGGGAGGAGCAACTCACTGCGATTGTGCGGGAGTTGCATGCCCACGATATTGTGTGGGGAGACGTCCATCCTATGAATGTCGTTATTGATGAGGCGATGAATGCTTGGGCTATTGATTTTGGCGGGATGAACAATGTAGAGTTTGTGGACGATGACAAACGCGAGACTATGGAGGGCGACTGGCAGGGTATAACAAGAATGTTCCATGAATGGTTACCGGATTCGCAGAGACGCAGCCAGTGGTAATTCTATTGTGACAGTTGGATTAAGGGCGTTCCGTGTACCACGTGATGACGTGATGGTTTTTCCTTCCGATGAGAACCTTATATTCCTGTAAGGAATCTGGTGGGGTTTACGTTAAGGATACCAGCATGTTGTGACATATTTCCTAGAGATTGACTTACTATTAAATTGTTGTGGCCTGTAGCCCAACCAGGAGGACCAGGTGTCCTACAGTATGGTGACGAGTGGCTTCTTGCCCCCACTGTTCTTGCTTGACGTCATACCCAAAACAGCAGTAGCTGCCACCCCACTCACCTCAATGTAGATCCAACACATCCAGACTTCACCAAACCCACGTGCTAATCGGACCGTGAAAATGGCAGGTTGGGCGTCCAAATTATCGTCGTTGGGACATTCAAAATCCGAGGACAAGGATGAAACATCCCTCACAACGCTTCTCGATGCGGAACAATGCGCCGAGTTGACCTTTCTGATAGCCACCATTACGGCGTCGATGCGAAAGTCTCTAGTCAAGACCTTCACTGCCGAAGAATTTCCGATTGACGAGAAGACCGCAAAGTCGGAAGAGGAAGTTCTGAGGGATGCGCCCTCCGACCTCGATAATGTCGACGTCGAGAAAGAAGACAAGATCAAGAAAGAGAGACAGAAACGCGAGGAGGAGGCTAAAGAGGAGCTTGCGAAACCGGAGGTGCAGGAACTAAAGAGGGAGATGCTGAAATACTTTGACGATTGGCGTGGCCAAGTTGTCAGCAGAGTCGGCGAGGTAATCAACTCAAAGGACAAGGCCAAGAAGCAAGCCCAAGAAGTGGAGAGCCAGCAAACCGAAACACTAGCCAGCAAGTCAGAGGCTGGTTTGACTAGTATCGAGAAGCTCGATGATAAGGAAGAAGATGAGGAAAAGATGTTCAAAGTCTCGTACCCTCCTGCTCCCACCAATCTTACTCAACTGGAAGAGAGCAAACGTGCTCTTGTTTTACACTCCCTCGTCCTCATAGTGTTGAGCTTGGAACATTACTCTGCGCACTCTCGCGTTTTGATCCTATATCTCACAAGTTCGCTCGGGCTGGGTAGGGACGTCCTGAAGAAAGACGAGGAGACTGTTGCGCAAGGCCTATTGGAGGCGGCATCTCAACAGCTCAATGCAGATGAAGAGACCAAAAAAGCAGCCGAAGCCTCGCAAACGGCTCGCCGATGGAAAGTTGGGCTAGCGGGTGTAGCTGGCGCTGCACTTATCGGTGTCACTGGTGGCCTCGCCGCTCCTCTTCTCGCAGCAGGTGTCGGAAGTGTAATGGGAGGAGTTGGCCTAGGGGCTACTGCAGCAGCAGGCTATCTTGGCACACTCGCTGGGTCATCTGTTCTTGTAGGTGGACTTTTTGGTGCCTATGGTGCGAAGATGACAGGGAAAGCCATGGACGAGTATGCACGAGAAGTTGAGGATTTTGCCTTTATCCCAATCCACCGTACACAGGACCCCAAGAAACAAGACAACGAGTCTCGGCGTCTCAGAGTAGCCATTGCCGTATCCGGTTGGCTTCGCAAGCCCGAGGAGGTCAGCCAGCCATGGCGGTACATCAGCAAGGGGACAGAGGGCTTTGCGTTACGATGGGAGCTTGAGGCACTTCTCAAGCTCGGGCACAGCCTTGAAACGTTTGTCACAAGTGCAGCATGGGGCTATGCGAAGAAGAAGATCATTGAACAGACCGTCTTTGCTGCAATGACAGCTGCGTTGTGGCCTCTTGGTCTGCTCAAGATCGCAACCCTGTTGGACAACCCATTTTCTGTGGCCAAGTACCGGTCTGAGAAAGCAGGAGAAGTCCTCGCCGATGCTCTCATCAACAGAGTCCAAGGCGAAAGACCAGTCACTCTAGTAGGATACTCTCTCGGCGCGCGCCTCATCTTTTCCTGCCTGCAAAAGCTCGCCGACCGTAAAGCCTTTGGACTTATTGAAAACGTTGTCCTTGTTGGTGCTCCTTGCCCTTCCGATGCCGAAGACTGGCGCCGCATCCGTTCTGTAGTCAGTGGGCGTTGTGTCAATGTCTTCTCTAAGAACGACTACATCCTTGGCTTCCTATACCGCACTTCTTCTGTTCAGCTCGGTGTCGCCGGCCTCCAGCCCGTTGTTGGTGTACACGGTGTACAGAATGTAGACGTGTCCGAACTGGTGGACGGTCATCTCCAATATCGCTTCATCACAGGTTCGATTCTACGCAAGATAGGGTTCGAAGATGTTGACATTGAAGAAGTAGAGCGTGCGGAAGCTGATCTGCGCAAAGAGACTAAGAAGGTTGAAGAAGAGCGGCGCAAGAATGAAGGTGAAAAGGGAGAAGGGGGTGAGGACGAAGAGGAATTGAAGAAGCAGGCGGAAAAGAAGCAGGAAGAGAGCCTTTTGGCAGTTATGCAGCAGAAGACGAAAAATCTAAACATTGGTGGCTTCGTGAAGGGTTGGTCTGGAAATGCGACTCCTGAGACAGCGGCGAAGCAACATTCAGGCGACTACAAGGATGTAGGCAAGAGGGAGCATACTGAGTAGATTGGTAGGATTCTTGAGATTCTTTTAGGTATTACACGTACAACGTGAGTTTGATTGCGCAGATAGTGCATACGTAATGGCAATCACTCAAACAATACTTAGTCCATCACGAGATCCTTTCTTCCCTCCTTCCCTTTTACACTCTCTCATTAACAAAACTCTTCCTCTCATTCCAATCCCTACACCTTCTCCCCTTGCCCCCCAAAAGACGAAGGCACCTTTCTAGCCTGATCCCGTGCCTCTTCAATCTCTCGCAGTCGACGGTACAACAATGCTTCATTCTTGTCTAACTTTGTCGTCAGCCACCAGCCTTCCTCCCCCCAAAAAACCGAGCCACTAGCAATAAGAGCAAAACTTCCAAAATGGAACAGGAAAGTCGGGGGTTCTATACATACATGTTAGTCTGAATAATTTCAGGCCTAGTACTGCGAAGGCGAGGAATAGGAACATGGTGAGGAGGAGATCAATGGCGAGGATGGGGATGAGGTATGTGGGATCACTGTGTTCGTTCATTGTTTCGAGCATTTTGGAGTCTGTCATTTTTGGGGGGGTTGGTGTGGGGCGTGTGAGGAGACTGTGAAGGGAGATGAATGCTATCTTATTGAATGGTTGTTTTGGTTCTTATTTTTTTTTGGTCTTGTGATGGAGGTAAGCGGGTCTTTTTATATAGTTTTTTGAAGATGTGGGTGGACATGGGTCGACAAAGATTTTGTGGTCGGCAAATACGTAGTGTTGAGTTGATTATGGATGTACATTTGGTGTTTGGTTCTTGGGGAATTGCACTTGTAATGTTGGATGCTTGTTGAGCGAGTGCCTAGGGGTCGAAGGTAATCAAAGAGGGATTGATTATAGTAGTTGATGTCATGTATTGTGAAGGTATGAGCTCATATTGCAACGCTGTACTTACATTGGCGGGATGAGAAAACTCGCGCGGTTGTAGGCGCGAGATTCTTGAAGGATTACCACTCGTTGTTGGAATTTGCATGTTGTCTTTTGGTAATCACTGCTGCATGGTACTAATTTGGTTGAGCAGATGTTGTCAGCTGGCTGTCACTCTTGTCTAATGAGTAATGTGCTGCCCAGATCCAGATATTGCGACATGGCCAATGAATATGTCGGATGCATATTTGTATGCAGAAGCATCATGATCCATTGTATATAGAAAGGGCTACAATACTCGTGTTGATTCAGAAATCTTGTGCACGATGACACTATACATAATATTAGGCATACAAAGTAGGATCAGATTCTTATACGATTGCACGATCCGTGTAGGGTTGTAATTATTCCGATAGGCTGACAGGTTTCACTATCTCGGCCAAACCCCAGTACGGTCAATACGTCAACCCGAGTCATTGCTTGTTTAAAGAGAAACAGATGCAGTGGCTTCGCTGTGCTATTTATAGCAGGCCTGGCTAGTGCCTTGGTTTTTGCAAGGCGCAGGAAAACAAAGAGCGCAGGATGCTCTTTGTGCAATAGTTTAGCAAGGCTTTGAGGATAGAATTGAGTGGGAAAAAAGCAAGAGCAGGTCTGTGTTTGTAGCGCTACTGGACTTGTGAGCGCAACGTATGCACCTTGCACACGAGCTGAGATGGCTGAGGTAGTAGTGGAGCTGACAGAAAGTTTCCCAGAACGCAAAGAGGGCGCTAAACCACATCGAGTTTAACTTGTGATAACACCAGATGAACTAAACACCCCTCTTCATCAATATCCTCTACCGGTGATTCGGTGTGTGAGACCAAGTCCGGTAAGTATGCTGTCTGCAATCACGCTTATGGAGGCTGTGCAGACAGGGCTGCGTAGCCATGTTTATACCGCGTTCAGAAAAGGCCCCCAAACCTCACATTAGCGCAGCATGGAACTCCAGCTCGTCGTATTAACACTGGTCATGTGTGGTCGAACTCTATGGGACCATCAGCACTATACCGGTATGGTGTTCGCACTGTGCGGCATTGTCAGTTGTGAAAGGCGTGGAACAATAAGCAATAAAGAGTTCCAGGTGGATGGGTCGGACTCCGCTCGCTGCTAAATCATGTGAGGCTGAGCTGGATGCCTCATGCGAGGCATGGTAAGTCTTATTGTCAGCTCGCCTCGTTCCGGAAGATTTTGCTTCTCCTCTTATTTTTTCTCGATATTCTTTTAATTTTTCCTGTTACTCGCTCCACTCTTTGTTGTGGACTTCGTGGAGATGGTACGGCTTCTGAAAGTTCGGGCCTTCGACAATGTACTGGGACCTCATCCACAGGGTCGAGACGCAGCTCCTCCAGAATGCAATGGACAAAATGATATACCTAAATGTTATTCGGATACAGCAGGAGGAGCGGCCTCGAAACTCGACACATCTGAGTCGTTTCCAAGGACTACTGATGGCTCTGCGCTTGCAGTCGAATCCAATGGTCTTGGAAGAGGCAAACCAACAGATGTACAGACTGCCAACGTCACAACGCCTACGATACTTCCAACTCAAAGTGTAGATCCTACTCTATCGACAACTGTAGTCAGCTCACAACCAAGTTCGATAACAGCGGGAAGTGTGGGAGGACCAGCACACGATAACAGCGGACTCAGTACAGGAGAAGTAGTGGGAATCGCAGTCGGAACTCTGGTCATAGGCGCAGCACTCGCATTTCTTGCAGCATTCTTCTTTTTCAAGCGACGAAACAGACAACAGAATACCAACATTGGTGGCAGAGGATACCCGGGTTATGGAGATTCAGTGCCTGAGCTTACCATGGTACAAAAGAGCGTTGGTAGCTTAGGAGACATGCATAGCCCTTACGTACAGGTGCCTCAGACGCCGATGCTGGCTCGACGACCCATTCCGCCCGCAATTCCAGCTCCGGTAACTGTGGATCACACAACACACACGGATATCGCTGGTTTCTTGCCACCTGTTGCACGAGACGGCGAGGTGTGTGATAGAGTATCGGCGTTATTTGAGAAGATGCATGAGCATATAGAGCGAGATTATCGCGACATTCATGCCAACGTCACACCAAGCATGGAATCTGGAATTGCTAGCTTTGGAGCAAAGGGCGTCAATATGACGGAAATGTTGCAAGAGTGCTCGAATCCGACTACTGCGCTCAAGCATGCACTCGTGTCGTATGTGATGGCCATAACAAGTTGGCACAAAGACGAAGAACACATGGGTGCACTATTCCCCGAAGAACTCAGGAATATAAAGTCTGAGAGGCACAGCAACAGCTCCGGTAGGTCATTCTTCTTTACTTGGGTCTCCCACCAAATACCATTAACACTTTGCATAGACCCGGGCGTCACGGCAGCAGCTTCTCTACTTAAACGAACCTCTGTGTACCTTTACACTAGTACATCTGGTACACCCGAGTCGGCTCAATCGTGGGCGATTCAATCCAGTGCCCGCGAAGCCGCTGAACACTTTTCCATGACGTTTTTCCCATGGGCCAACCCCACATGTAGTGACCAGCAAAAAGACGAAGACCTTACGTCTATTATCATAGAAGCACGAGAGATAAGCATATGGCTGTTCGGGCAGCCAGATGTATACAAGTTTGAATGGGACGGAGCTGGTAGAGGAGGAGTGCTAGTCAACCCAGCACTGGTGAGGCGTACAAACGCAACTGGCGATGAACAGGAAACGAGGGTAGTGGAAGGAACAGTCATGGGTATGTAGACCAAACATATGATTCCATTGCCAATACTTCTCCTTTAACTTGGAAAGGCGTACGAGACCACGTTGACTATGGCCAAGTGAAGATACTTGAGACAGTTCTGCAGGGTTTCGCGTATTCAACTCCGTACCGCCAATGCTGGGCCCCTGTCTCTCATTGGCTACCCAAGGTATACAGTTGTGCGTGCCTAGACACGGGCAAACGTCAGCCAATGCTGTGTAGTAGTGACTAGGATGGAAAGCCAGTCGCTATGACGACGGATGTATGGATGCCAAGATGCGTAGACGTTGGCACCAGGATTTCTATGCTTTGCAGCACACCCAACGTTACTGTGAGATGGCGTAGGTGTGATCTATTGCCATGCACTCCTGCGAGCATACGGACAACTCGAGCCGAGTGGGCGACGACGAACACGAGACAGGATGAATTACTCACACGTGTGGTGAAAGCTTAGCCCATACTACTACTACTGCACATGACGAAGTTTTTTTTGTTGCAACACCCCAACATGTGTCGTTTGAAGCAGTCTCCACCCAAGAGAACAGTTGGCATAAGCGCACATAGGCACGACTGGGCGTGGAGCAGTAAGTAGGAATTGCCGGCACCTTTGCCTCGGGAAATGGCTGGTCCCTTCCCCACGTCCGAAGGGGCGCAAAGCTGATGCCTGTCGCATCGCATGCTCAAGCCCCATTCCTTCAGGGAGGTACATGCGATTAGCTCCACCAGCTGCCATTTTTAAATGCGGTAATTTCATTCTAGCTGCATTGCAAGTGGGCAACCTTATACCACGAGCCTTTACAAGAGTATCTCGGCCTCTTTCTCTCTCGCCGAGCTACGTATCTATTATCCGGTCATGCTCCAGACAAAAGTACCATCAAGCACGCTAATGCTAAACCGCGCTCATGGCACCAAAAGCGACCAATGATATGTGTTCCAAAACTACTCATCTACAGACATATGTATCTCCTGTAATGCGAATCCGCGGGCCGGCTGTCTACCCGGAGATACCTTGCATCTCGGACCTCCAAAAAAACCTCCCTGCACCCGACGGACGGCATGTCAGGATACCCTTCTACGCAATGGTGAATACGGCGCGAACCTCGTGGCCAGTGGACGACATGCAGAACAGAGTGAGGGCGAGATCGGCACTTGGAAATGGTCTGACTGGGTGGTAGGGTTACAGGCGCGGTGGACTAGTAATCCGGAGCAACGGAGGCGGCACCAGGCGTGGCTCCTGCTATCCGCATTGGTTCATGGTGTCCACCAAAGGAGGGTGGGCCCAGCCAAAGACAAGCATTGGGTTCTTCGTCATATTCCATGTCCCCGCGCGAGTGGCACACGCGAGGGGTTACAGCAAGCACTGAGGGTAGCCGTGGGAAAAAGGTAGGTCTTCATAAGTCGAGCCGTTGGCCCATCGGCTACATTCTGCTGTACAACCCTTCTTCCCTTGTTGCTCACATTCCCAGCTGCCTCATTCGTAGACAGGCCGACTACAAATAGACGCGCGCAGCCAGCTCCACTTTGCTTTGCGAGTTCGGTTTCCGGAAGATTCAGCAAGCAGCTTCAATTGGGGGCCCCTGCCGCAGGTCATCACATATTCGCCGACCCCTTTACCCGGTATTGAGACATATACTACAAATATCTGTTGGAGCCAGCACCTTCTCGCTCTCGCCCGCGGCTCGTAACCCTTCCTCTGTGACGCTCTAGAGCACCCTCGTCGCGAAATTGCAGCGCGCCGAAGCTGGGCTCCTCTTGTCACCCCACCCCCCCCAAAGGTTACATTCCGTCTGCAAAGAAAAAACACAATGTCCGAAGGAAACGTCAAGCCCACGGCGCCAGTCGTGGCCGAGGCCCACGAGGTCGACACCTTCCACGTCCCCAAGGCATTTTTCGAGTGAGTGCAATATTTATTTGGTTGTTACATCATGTACCAAGACAATGACAGCTGCGGCGTTCATCCAAGCTCCAAAGCTCACGAGGTGGGCGGGGTGACCCCGCGGCGCCGAGCGTTAGGCCGAATGGCGGCGCGCGCAATCGTCTGTCGTATGAATGAGCAATTGAAACAGCAGCTGACGAGTGGCATTGTTTTTCCTGGAACAGCAAGCATCCGCACTCGAAGCCGCACCTGGCCAACCTAGAGGAATACCAGAAGCTGTACAAGGAGTCGATTACCAACCCAAAGGTATTCTGGGGCAGGCTAGCACGCGAGCTGCTCACGTGGGAGCGCGACTTTGAGACGGTACACTCGGGCAGCTTTGAGCACGGCGACAATGCGTGGTTTGTAGAGGGCAGGCTGAATGCCAGCTACAACTGTGTTGATCGCCATGCCTTCAAGGACCCCAACAAGCCCGCCATCATTTACGAGGCTGACGACGAGGGCGATGGCCGCATCATCACATACGGAGAGCTGCTCCGCCAGGTCTCCAAGCTAGCCTTTACACTCAAGGAGATGGGCGTACGAAAAGGCGACACTGTCGCTCTCTACCTGCCCATGATTCCCGAGGCAGTCATTTCTTTCTTGGCATGCACGCGTATTGGTGCTATCCACTCCGTCGTATTTGCTGGCTTTTCGTCTGATTCACTGCGCGACCGTATCAACGATGCTGAGTGCAAGGTTGTCATCACCACCGATGAGGGCAAGCGTGGCGGCAAGACCATCAGCACCAAGAAGATTGTCGACGATGCTCTCAAGCAATGCCCCGGCATCACCCACTGCCTGGTCTACAAGCGTACCGGCGCTGAAGTACCCTGGACAAAGGGCCGGGACTGGTGGTGGCACGAAGAGGTCGAGAAGTGGCCCAGCTACATTGCACCAGAGCCAATGAACTCGGAAGACCCCCTTTTCCTGCTCTACACATCTGGTTCGACTGGTAAGCCCAAGGGTGTCATGCACACGACTGGTGGCTACCTTCTCGGAGCTGCGGCGACTGGAAAGTACGTGTTTGATATTCACGACAACGACGTCTTCTTCTGCGGTGGTGATGTAGGCTGGATTACTGGCCACACATATGTCGTATATGCGCCTCTGCTGCTTGGTGTAGCCACTGTTGTTTTCGAGGGCACACCTGCCTACCCCAACTTCTCACGGTACTGGGACATTGTCGCCAAGCACAATGTCACTCAGTTCTATGTTGCGCCGACCGCGCTGCGACTGCTCAAGCGTGCGGGCGACGAGCACGTGAAGCATGACATGAAGAAACTCCGAGTGCTTGGCTCCGTCGGTGAGCCGATTGCGGCCGAGGTGTGGAAGTGGTACTTTGAGATTGTTGGCAAGGAGGAGGCGCATGTTGTTGACGTGAGTTTTGATTCAGTATATATCTGGAATCATGTGCTGATGCTTGACAGACCTATTGGCAAACCGAGACTGGCTCTCACGTCATTACGCCACTGGGAGGTATCACGCCCACCAAGCCCGGATCAGCATCTCTCCCATTCTTTGGTATTGAGCCTGCGATTATTGACCCGGTCTCGGGCGAGGAGATCCACGGCAACGACGTTGAGGGTGTACTAGCCTTCAAGCAGCCATGGCCTAGCATGGCACGCACAGTCTGGGGAGCACACAGGCGGTACATGGAGACTTACCTGACGGTCTACAAGGGCTACTACGTGAGTCTAAAGAATGTGGAGTATATTCTAATATAGGCTAACCATGGTAGTTCACTGGAGACGGTGCGGGACGTGACCACGAGGGCTACTACTGGATCCGAGGACGCGTTGACGATGTTGTCAATGTATCGGGACACCGACTGTCTACAGCAGAAATTGAAGCCGCGCTGATTGAGCACCGTAAGCTAAAGAGCAGAGACAAGGTGGTAGATGCACGTGGCTAACGATTACGCAGATCAAGTGGCTGAGGCGGCAGTTGTGGGGATCCATGACGAGTTGACAGGCCAAGCCGTCAACGCGTTTGTGGCGCTCAAGGACGGTGCCGAGACTAGCGATCAGGTCAAGAAGGATTTGGTAATGCAAGTGCGCAAGTCGATTGGGCCGTTTGCCGCACCAAAGGCGATTTTTGTAGTGCCGGACCTGCCCAAGACGCGATCGGGCAAGATTATGCGTCGCATCATGCGCAAGATCTTGGCTGGAGAGGAGGACCAGTTGGGGGACATCACAACGGTAAGTCGAGGCATGCGGCCAACCATTTTTGCATGGTGATGACGAGGCCGCGTATTGTTGTGGAAGATGCGAGCTAACCATGTGGGACAGCTCTCGGATCCGTCGATAGTCGACAAGATCATCGACATTGTGCACCAGGCGAAGAAGAAATAGCCGGCTCGACTTGGCAAGGGTTGTCAGAGGCCTGTCAGTGGTTGAGAGGGCAACAGTTGGGAGTTCAGTGGGGATGTCGGCAGAGGGCGGCCAACCAGCGAGCAGGCATGGACGAGGGTGATTGTCCAAGTGGGATAGCGGCGCAACACAAAGTAGTCTAGTTGATTATCGTTATAGGGCAAGATGGGCCGAGTACAGGCGTTTCCATGGTGAGACGGGTGCGGTATGCGCGGGGAGAGGGACAAGAAAGGTGCTGTTTGGGCGCTTGTCCGATGTCTCAGGTATGCCTGCATGCATGTGTCGAGGTACTTTAGTCAGGAATGATGTATGGATGTAAGTATAGTATTATTATCATGTTTTGGTGGTATGGTACACCACCAGTTCTGACAGGTTGGATGAACCACGCACACGTTCCCGCTGGGTGCCGACAGACAGGAAAGGGGAGGGGGAAGGGGGCTCAGCCAGGCAGCTCGTCAACCGTTGTACAGCAGTTGTGCACACAAGGTTCAGCCGCATAGCCGTATGCCCGCGTATAGAGTGACGAGGGTGTCGCGTCCAGCAGCATCGCTGCCATAGTTTCATCCGTGTCGCGCCCAGGCCCCCCTCTGCTTCCGGCTGCCGGCTGCCAAGACAGTGGCTGGCAGGGGGGCTGTGCACAGCGATTACGACTCTCCGCTGTCCGCCGTCTAGCCATCGTTTTGCTCAGTAATTGCCCTTTTGCCTCTTTGTTGGTCTCTGTCCCATACTCCATCGTCCTTTTTTCCCTACCCATGTCTCTCGCTGCGTTGTCTTGATATCCGCCCTGCTCCTCCTTGTTGTTTTTTACACCACCCCCTCGCCCATCTCCTGAACGGAGAGCACCGCCACTCGAGCGAGAATGCGCCTCTTTGGCAGTCTCCAGACTGCCCTCGTCATTGGCCTTGCCACTGTCGCTTCTGCTGCCTCGCGCGCCCGCGAGCCGCTGCAGAGAATTGCCCTCGTCAAGAATGCCGACATCCTCACACAGACACATCGAGTGACCGCCGTGTCCTCCTTCGACCTTGCCTTTGATGTGTCGGGCCAGCGCATCCGCCTGAGCCTCGAGCCTAACCATGACCTGTTTGTGGACGGCGGACGCATAACACATCTCAACGCAGACGGATCAATAGCAAGGTCCGAACCGATTGATCGGTTGCAACACAAAGTTTACAAGGGCAAGGCGTGGTTGAAGAGGGGTAATCGATGGGACAATGTCGGATGGGCGCGCATTGGCTTACGCGAGGACGGTCTGGAACCGCTGTTCGAAGGCACTTTTTCCATTAACCACGATCACCACCATGTCAAGATGTCTTCGAGCTACAAGGCCACGCGCATGGACGAGGATCCCGATGTCGACTTGCGTCCCAAAGAGTTCATGGTTGTGTTCCGCGACTCGGATATGGGCAAAGGCAGGAACTCTGATGAAAACATGGAACTCAAGAAACGATCAAAAGAAGTTGGATGTCCGTCCGACGACCTTATTTTTAACACGCAAGAACACCATCCCGTCTTTGCTAGCATGCGCGCGCGAGACGAGGCATCAGCAATGTCGCCATCTCTCATCACATCCATGTTCAAGCGACAGGATGACGTACCATCTGGAGGCAATAGTGCAGGTGTTGATCTCTCGTCCACTATTGGCAAGACTGCCGGCTGTCCCAGTACTCGCAAGGTTGCGCTTGTTGGTGTAGCTGCCGACTGCACATATGTGTCGTCTTTTAACGGAGACAAGAACAAGACGCAATCCAACATCATCGCCGCAATGAACTCTGCTTCCGAGGTTTTTGAGAGCTCCTTTAACATTTCACTTGGTGTCGCCAATCTCCTCATCACGGAATCGGATTGCCCGACACAGCAACAACAAGCCACACCCTGGAACCAGGCCTGCAGCAGCAGCATCACCATTCAAGACCGTTTGAACCAGTTCTCCAAGTGGAGAGGACAGCAAAGTGACAGCTACTCCCACTGGACCCTTTTGTCAACCTGCAACACTGGATCCGCCGTCGGACTCGCCTGGCTTGGACAAGCTTGCACAACAGGCTCTCAAGACAACACTGGACAAGCTGGCGAGACAGTTGCCGGTGCCAACGTAGTCATCAGGACCGACAACGAATGGGAAGTCATTGCCCACGAAACAGGCCATACCTATGGTGCCGTACACGACTGTACATCACAAACATGCGCCAACAAAGACGTCGTCAATGCGCAACAATGTTGTCCTTTCTCTCAGAGCTCTTGCGACGCAAATGGTGGTTTCATCATGAATCCCTCGACAAAAGATGGCATCTCGCGCTTCTCCCCTTGTACTATTGGCAATATTTGCTCAGCGCTTGGACGTAATAGCGTCAAATCTCAATGTCTCACCAACAACCGCGATGTCACCCTGCTATCTGGACCAACCTGCGGTAACGGTATTGTCGAAGGCGACGAGGAGTGTGATTGCGGTGGCGTTTCAGGCTGCAAGGACAATGCTTGCTGCAACCCGCAAACTTGCAAGTTCATCAACAATGCTGTGTGCGACGATTCCAACGAAGACTGCTGCCGCAGCTGTCAGTTTGCCTCAGCCAGCACAGTCTGCCGCGGTTCGGTTGGCACGTGTGACCCCGAGGAGACCTGTACTGGAAATTCACCATACTGCCCCGAGGACAAGACAAAGCCCGATGGTACCGACTGCGGCAATGGCCTCACCTGTGCCTCTGGTCAATGCACAAGCAGAGACATGCAGTGTAAGACTATCATGGGAAGCTACACCCAAGGAAACGATACCTATGCTTGCGACAACAGTAACTGCATGCTCAGCTGTGCTAGCCCGGAGTTTGGTGCCAGATGCTACGGACTGCAACAAAACTTTTTGGACGGCACCGCCTGTACAGGAGGAGGCACATGTCAAAACGTATGTCAAATCATGATTTACTTATTTTCTTCAATTACTAACAATGTCTAGGGTGTTTGCCAAGGCGGCTCTGTCGGCAAAGAAATCACCACCTGGATCCAACGCAATCTCTCCCTCGTCATTGGTATTGCGGCAGGAGTTGGTGGTGCTCTTCTCCTATGTATTTTCTGCTGTTGCTTGCGCTCTTACCGTCGTCGATCAAGACTCAAGAAGTACGCCGCTGCTCGACCACCCCCAATGCCCTACCAGAGCAGCCAAATTGGCAGCCAGGGCAGAAGACACAGAGGCGACCCTATCGGTCAACCACAAATGACTCAATACAACAACAGTCGCAACCAATATCCACCAAGTGGACCGCAACCAGGTCAATGGACACCGAATGGGAATCCGCCCAACGGAGATGTTCCAATGCCACCGCCAGTACATCGAAGCAGTGTACGCTATGCATAGACGCTTCTAATATCGAAGCACTGTTTTATTTTGTTCTTTTGTATTTCTTTGCATCTAACGACGAATATCTACGGTCATTTAAAAACCAGCGGGTATATAAGCTGGGTTGGGAATTTCAGCAAGCATCATTATCGGCGTTTCTTTTGTCCCAGGTGACTTGAGGGGTGCGGTACCACCCCCACTGGTTTTGGGTTTTTTTTATCACAGGGCGAAAGGAAGAGGGAACGAGATGGATTTTTGCATATAAAGGGTCATATATAGCCAAATGTTGATATTGAGGACTTTGTCCAAATGCATACTTTTACTGTTTGAGAACGCATGTCAGTTAGGTGTTATTCTTGGTATCTAGGCAAAAATCAGGGAATCACCCGTTACAGACAACCGAACCAATTTCGGATTTTATGCGGCTAAGTTAATGTCCGAGCCCCACTGGGGGGTGTTTTTTTTTTTGGTTGTTTCCCAATTGCCGTAGGTTTGTTGTGGACCCTTGATTATCAGTAGACGTCATGGCTTCCCAATGTTTTGTATCTCTCCAGATGACGAATGCCGTTTCTTTTCGGAGAAGTCACAACACAATCACTAAATACGTGTTGAAGTTGGAAAGAGACGCCTAAAGAAAAAGGCTGAATTTTTGGAGAAGAAGAGAAAGAGAAAGAAAAGAAAGAGCGAGGACAACTGGTGTGATATCGAGACGATATTGTCGAACAACTACGACAACATGTTGGCTCTAACGAGTGCGACTGGAAAGCTAGGCAGCGCAGTCCTCAACGCTATCCTCGAGCATAACCTTATTGACCCAAAGGACCTCGTCGTTTGCGTAAGTCTCTCCATCCCCCCATATCCTCCAGAATGCATCAACTAACAACCTCCCCTCCCCCAAACAGACCTCCACCACCCCCTCCTCCCCCCGCCTCTCCCACCTGCACACCCACTCCCTCAACATCCGCCACGCAGACTACTCAGACCCGGCTTCCCTCCGCACCGCATACACAGGATGCACGCGCCTCTTCCTCGTTTCCACACCCGCAATCGCCATGGACTACAACGACGCGCCGCTCTGGTCGGGCCGCGAGGCGCACCACCGCGCCGCCATTGACGCCGCCGTCGCCGTAGGCGTTGGGCATATTTACTACACTTCGCTAGCGTTTTCGCGGCCCTCGCGGGCAGGTGTCATGCGCGCGCATATTCGCACCGAAGAGTATCTTGAAGAGCTTCAGCGCAGGGGAGTGGTGGAGTACACGGTGATTAGACAAGGGTTGTATAATGAGAGTTGGCCGTTGTATTTTGGGTATTACTTTGGTCTGAGGGGGGAGGAGAGGACGGAAGTGCTGGTTGCGGGGGATGGACGGGTGAGTTGGACGGCGATTGCGGATTTGGGGTTTGCGACTGCGAAGGTGCTTGCGGATAGACCGGGCATGTGGGTGGGTAAGACGGTTTATCTCAGTCAGAAGGAGACGAGGTCTTTGGCGGAGATTGCGGGGTTGGTGGGGGAGATTAGGGGGGAAGAGGTGAGGGTGAGGGTTGTGGGGAGGAAGGAGTACGAGGATTATTATGTGGAGAGGATGGGGATGGAGAGGGCGGCGGTCGAGTGGTGGAGTAGCACGTATGAAGCGCTGGAGCAAGGCGAGTGTGCGATTGAGGATGCGACGCTTGAGGGGATCTTGAGCGAGGCGGGGAGGACACCAGTGTCGGTTGAAGTTACGATTCGAGAGATGATGAAGTGAAGTTTGCTGGTTTTTGGTGGTTTGTTTTGCCTCCATCCAGCTGGAAGCTTTTTCAGTACCCGACGTAACAGTCGTATTCATCGCGGTGCAATATCCATGCTGGATCCAATCTTGCAAAACACAGCAGTTCGCCTATGTACCGGTAGAAGCGGCGGCGCTTGCTTTCCTGCTCTTCTATACTTCGAGTTGCCATGGCTTTCTTTTTTTTCTTCTCCCCCGCTGTTTACCTGATACCTATCCTGTTTCAATACGCTTCTTCTTTCCCCTCGTACTTGACACTGCTGCACCACACTCTTATCACCCTTGCCTTGCTCAGCTCCCCAGACGCTGTCTTAGTCGTATACACGAGAATCCACGTACAAAGGAAACAAAAAGGGTGCGGGTCTCACAGTCCTGTTTCTTCCCTTGACACATATATGTATACCAGTTCTCTCTTACCCTTCCCTTGACCCTTTCGTGTGTGTGTGTACCGAACTTACCTGTGCGAACCACGGTTCCGTACCGATCACTCGCTATCAGTGTCGTGATATGAGTGCGCGCGGATTGGCTGGTACCCCCAGACGCAAGTCAACAATCGACATCAGGTGAAGTTTCATTTGATGTTGGTTTTATGGGATTCGAGTGGGAAGTGTAGTGACACATGGCCTGACGTTGTGCGTTGACAGTGCGTGTAATGGGGTCTGGTTGGGGGGAACGGTGGATGGTACGTGGAGATTACTATCATCCGCCCCCCCCTGTAAGACGTGGAAGGAAAAATGCGCTGTTCGAACATCGTGTGTCTTTGATGTTTAGGTACGTGGGTTTCATGTCGAATAGCGTGAGGTTACGAGGAACATAGGTAGTAAGCTGTGCCTTGCGCTGACAGTTGGATGGACAAGCCATGCGTCAAACAACCAGTACTAGTCTTGGAGTCACAATGGGAGCTATTTAATGACCAATCTTGGTAGCACGTGAAGCTCCAGGTTAGTCAAATCTTCGACCTGAAATTTGTAGTAGAGAGACACTCAAGCTCATGATAAGACATGATTCCCACGTTCACAGTCCCTTAAGCTTCTCGCCTTTCAACTTGTACAAGCTTGATCGCTCATATCTTTACATATGGAGGCTAAATTCCTCGATGAAATCCCTATGGTAAGATGATACGTGTAATTTTTCTATGGAGATAAACTCATGATACTAGGTGGAGAAGCTCATCGAGACTTGATGCATAGGCGACAGCCGGGTCGTTGTGAATTGAATCCGGAGTTTTGTAATACGAATTCAACAACGTGTGGCGTGGAGGGATTTGCTACGTAGTGTTGATTTTTTTGATTTTTTTTAGCTAGTTACGCTCCGCGAACATTGTGGTTTTGGTATGCGACGGCTCGTGGTGATAGCGCTGCGGCATGCACGCATTGTACATTGCGATAGGCATTGTACTCTAAGTTCTGCGTCATCGCATTGCATTGAGGCTGTGGCGCACACCGCCGGTTTTCAAGAAGCCTTTTTCTTGTACATCAGGCACGTCGGCTTCAAATCCTGTTTGTTTGGTTCCTAGGAGTTCACAATGATATCCTGTTTTCTTTTTTTCATGATCACATCCCGTTTGTATGCATATCCTCGTACATCTACATACTTTTCGTGAACAGGGTTAGGGAAATGACAAGAAAGGATAGAAAAGACAAGAGAATAAAATGACTGGTATCTCCCAAGAAACTATGGTTGCCCAACGGTGCATATCCACACTATATCAGACGTTATACCAAATCCTACCATGTTGTTTCTTACAGCTGAATATCTAGAGTGGTACTCTGGAGGAATCAACAAAATATTCTCTCCGTTATGTGTGATCCAGTCCTTGTTCAGACCAACGCATCCTCTAGTATCGTGGGCGTGTTCAGGATTGGCGTTACTAGTGGTGAGATCAACGGAGTTACTGAGACAGAGATTGCTCCCACTGATCCGGATAGAGAGCTCATCGGGCGAGAACGCTAGTGATTTGATGCGACCATTGCCCTCAAGAGTCGTCAGGCACGCCCCACTATGTGGATCCCATATCTTAACAGTCTTATCCCAGGATGCTGAAGCTAGTCTCTTTGAACTGGGCGAGAAGGCTACCAAGCTAACAACATGTTTGTGCCCTATAAGCGTCTGTAGGCATGCCCCAGTATGTGCGTCCCAGACCTTAACTGTCTTATCCCATGAGGCTGACGCTATCTTTGTCGATTCAGGTGAGAAGACCACTGAGCTGACGATGCAGGTATGACCTATCAGCGTCCGTACGCATGCTCCTGTACGTGTATCCCATATCTTGATTGTTTTGTCCCGTGACCCTGAAGCTAACCTTGCCAAAGACGAGAAGGCTACTGAGTTCACAGGGCGGGTATGTCCCGTAAGCGTCTTCAGACAGAATCCACTGTGTATGTCCCAGATCTTGACCGTCTTGTCTTCTGACATTGACACTAGCCTTTTCATATCCGGTGAGAAAGCTACAGCATGAATAGTGTTGTTATGCTCTCTAAGCGTGTGGAGGCACAACCCATTTTGTGCGTCCCAGATTGTGACTGTCTTGTCTTCTGACATTGACACTAGCTTTGTCGAGTCAGGCGAGAACACGACTGGATTAACAGTCCTTTTTGGCTTCGGAGCTGTACCTGGGAACTTACCCCAGCCTTCGCTCCCTCCTGGCTGGATAACAATGTGTCTTGGCTTCTCGTGCTGAAATAGCTGTCTTATCAGACTACTTGTTGGACTGAATAGTAGAGAAGATACGTATGTTTGAAGAGGATATCTTTCTATGATATCTCCAAAACGTCTTTCAAATTGACATGCGTCGTAAATAAGATGATAAAGGCTGTTCCCCTTGAAAAGTTTCTATAAGTGTCAGTTTGGTCCAATTATGCATGCGCAAAACGTGGAATATGTGGACTGTACCCATGATGTTATCCGTAGCCTAAGCATTGCTAGTCTGAATGCGTACATATTTCTACAAAGACTCAAAGCTTCGACCCAATACAGGAACTTTTCTTTTATAAATCCCTCGATGGCTGTTGCAGTTTCATAGTCGAATTTCTCGGAGGAAATGCGTCCCGACAAGTCCAAATGGTGAAACCAGTAGACACATGAGTAACGTACATTCGTGAGCGGATCGGGGCTAGGTGTTTTCACTACGTCGATTGAGATACCTGGCTGCTCTAGAGCATATATATCACGTTCCAGCGTGCTTGATAATACCTTGATGGATTGAGTGAATATCTGGTAGTGAATAATAGTTGGAGAAGGAAGAAGATTGTTCTGCATCTTCTGGCTAAGATAGTCTTTTGCTGACTGATGGACAAGATAGATTTGTTCGCTGCGAATGGTGAGGAATGAGCCGCATGAGGCTACAATTTTTCGGTGCATCTCTGTCGGTCCTGGTAGTGCACATAAACTTCCTGCCTCAGTGAGGTAGAGTGGACGGAACGCAACTGTTATCGTGCAAAGTAGAATCCGGAGAATATCTGCAGACCTTGGTTTCTGCTCGATCTGGGCCAACATTCGATCGTAGAACTGGTCTAAACCTGCTGGAGTTGTTTTCACTACCGCTAAAGGATCGAAGCAGTCGTACTTCTCGAGCTCTTGTATCATCAAGGCGACCCAAAGAAAAGTGCCGTTGGCCTTCTTCCGCATCTCATCTCGAATCTCATCGCGCACGCTGTCTCCTTCAAGAACATCGAGTGAAGATAACTTATGGTCAATATAGTCTTCTACCGCTTGCGTGATTTGACTTGCGTTTTGCTTCAGTTCTAGGCTTAACCTAGCCTCGTTACTGACTGACTTCAATCTCTGCTCGATATGGCTCTCGTTTCGGCTAGTCACCAGCCACATTACACGAGGCGATTTGGCGTTAGTAAGAGTTATTAGATCCAGAAGCTTGTGTAAATCTGTGACGCACTCATCAAGAGCATCAACAAATAAGTAAACCGTGTTCAAGTCTTTGTCGCACACTATGTCCACAAAAATCTGTGACAAGGCTACCCAGGCATTCGCGTCCTCGAATAGCTTCTTGCCAACTTGGTCGTAACGTTTTCGAATATGCGAACTAAGTGACGGATTCTGAATCACAAGCATATACAACAAGCCCCGCAATACCGCTACAGCATTATTGATACGCATGTCGGTAGCTTGGCAGAAGAAGTACGCAACTGTGTTGTTGTGTCTTGTAGTCTTCTGCACCTCGTCGATAATGCCGCACATCAGCATCGTCTTGCCTTTACCGGGATCACCCTTAATCCAGAGTAGTCGAGTGCTAAGGTTTTGCTGCCACTTTTGGAAGGTGCTATTATTGATAATCCAGCGGTATGAGTTGACCAACAGACCGCCCTTTGTTGCTTCAATGCGTGTCTTATCATCGTGAGGATTGGTAGATTGAAGGTCTTGAACACAGTTGTTGTGCCTGTCGACTTCATGCTCGACTCGTCTCATCGCTTCTGTTGGGCTCTCCCCATCAATTGGAGACACGCTAACACCAAGGATGCCCATGAGAGCGTACACACTGTCTACCGGTTTGGTCGCTTTTCGATGTTCTCCCCATGATATGCGCTGCTGGGTACTGAAATGAGACAATGGCGCACCTTGTAATGCGGGTTTAGGAATGTCTGTGATCCGGGATAAGTCTGATATCAGCGACAGCTTATCACCAAGTTCATTTCCCTTTTTGTTGAAAAAGTACACCTCGGACGGGGCCAGAAGTTCCTGCAATGTCCAGCATCGCGTGAACCATCTGCTTTTCGAAAATTCAAATTGATGGGCTTGACGATCAGGTGGTTTGTCGTGATGATTAGGGAGATCGCTGTTAACAGCCGAAGTGGGGCTCGTGACATCTGACAAGTATACGTAACATCGTGCTGCATTCCGATACCACGTAAACATCGACCGGATGCTGAAAACAAGCTCAGCCCTGTTGTTTTTGTCTATACAGCACGTATCGATCCAGAAGTACTGTAGGCCATCATGCCGTGCTTGTGCGCCGCAAAACCGGATCTTTTCGTAGCCAGCCTTGTCCTGACCGGCTCCATCGTTGATGTCTGCATATGTCACCTCTTCATTTTCTGCCCCCCAAGTGTGAGAAAGTATCGCATAAGGAGGCATCGGCTCATCGTGAAAGCTCTTGATGACGAAGTTATCAGCTTCGTCGTATGTGAGAAGACGCATCGACTCAGGTAGACTTGTGGTAGACGGTCGATGGCTTGGAAGACGAGGTGCATGATACGTACGATAAGTGCCAGGCAACAATTAGCTGAACAGAAAAAGGCTGGAGGTTGATGCAGCAATCCGGGTGGGGCGGTGGCTGTGTGTCGTCCTTCAGCTCGGCTAGCTACGCCAATTTCGTGGCTGTTTGGAGGCTGCAGCTGTGTACATTCACACACGCGTACCGCGGTTTAGCGCACACAAAGGAGCATACTATAAGAATCCCTGTCTAAGTAAAACTGGCTGAATTTTCCATTCTTTTATACCAAAAACGCCTTGCTCATATAGTACTTTTGGATCGCTACTCTAAACCTCGTCCACCATAATTACATACTAAATCTTTATGGTTTTCTGTTAGGAGGCTATGTATAGTAGAAGATGCTTTAAAGATAACGATGTAGATATTTCGCTATGATGAAGGAGAAAAGATAAGAAAGCTTTCCTTTACTTATAACAAAACGCCGATAAATTTGCGCTGTTTTAAGTATTCTCGATTGGCTACAAAATATACCCAACACACCTAGCTGAGACCTCTTTATGTTCCATCGTATGCGCCAACTCGCAGTACAAAGAAGATGACTGAGCTGGCGAAGGTCCTTGTGCCATTCTTTTTTTTTTGCTGAAAGTGAAGTGGTTTGGAAGCGAATTATCACGAAAATTGTATGAAGATTGGATAGTGAATATGATCATGGGTGGATTATCTTTGCTTTTGCTGGCATTTTTCTATGTGTGGATCACAAAAAGGAGAATTCAGGCTAACAGGTAAACATACATACTAGGAAGACTCCTACTAGTATACCTTTTGCTGCCTCGTGACTTGATTAGCACATTAAGAATTATCCGACACCAAAAGGCTCGATGCTCTAGGCTCAAATCATTCGATTTTGACGCGAGCACTTGCGAAGAAAGGCTCTTTAAGCTTTCACATCTTGCTGAGTACATCAACCTCAATCTGGATGATGTCTTGCGAGATTACATATTCCTATGAGTAAGACAGTGTCTCTTCGAGAGCTTCGAAGTAATCTTTACCTACCGGCATTCATTATCGTTATCGTAGTAGTATTTCGGAAAACATGAAAGGCACATATACCTTTGCACACCTTCGTTGCTTCGATAGCATTTTGTTCAACAAATTCCTCACAAGATCCTCCGCAGTTGGGAAGCAAATATTAATAAATCCATGTGCCCGTTTTCCACCAAAGGCTCTGATGCGAGGGTGAGGATAGAGTGCTCCTTGTTTTGCAATCCCATAGCAACCATAGCCTCCTTCCGCTTTAGCTACATGGCCGGACCACCTTGAACATCTCTTGTACTGTGCTCTCTGCACGGATGTGAAATATGTCGTGGGGAAACTACTCAAATATTTGAACTGAGCAAAGTGACAAAATGGATGCTGTTATCGTGGTGAAGTCTTCGAGACCAGTCACAGCAATCTGTGTATGTACTGGGTGTGAAATGTTGCAACAATATGATTGGTGGGCTATTTCCCCACCAACCGTCATCTTGACGTTCCTTTTGCTAAACAGCAAGTCTACACTCCACGACGGAAACATATCTGGCAAGTGCTTATTAGAAATATGAATAGAAGTTTCCGTCAAATACTATCTGCAGCAGGAAGAGTTGACAGAGGGCCGCCAGTAGGGTCGACAGACAACCAACCGAAGAAGAACCCACGATTGCCGGCATGCGAACCGTGTCGGATAAGCAAAATAAAGGTTTCACATCACCTCGAGAGGCATCGGTCGAAGTGTTAACCATCCTGCAGTGTACCAGTGAGAAGCCAACATGTAGGGTGTGCCTTGAACGCAAGACAGTTTGCCGATAGTACGTCGAAACAGAATCACGCCAAGCCAAGCGAAAGTACGAAGATCTGCGAAAGAAACAGTCTGCACATGAAGAGTTGCTCGGACTCATGCAAACACTACCTGAACAGGATGCATTCGATATTTTCAAACGAGTAAGGGCCGGAGGAGACATTGGCGCTATCTTGAATCACTTTAGAGACGGCGATTTGTTGTTGCAAATGCAGCTTGTACCAGAAACCAGACTCCGATATGAGCTTCTTTACAGTCGCGATATGCCGGCATTGCTACTGACATCTTGGAGCCCCTATCTCGACTCATTGATCTACGAAGTGGTTTCACAGCGTGCCTTACACCCCAAGGCGCACGAGCCTACAACGACGGAGCCTCAACAGTCTATCATTCCAGCAAAATCTACACAGACGTATCAGGACATGTACGTGAAGGCATACCATGCAGCAATATTTGTAGAGCCCCGCCTCGAAAATACGAGAATTTCGGAGTGGACTACGGTTTGCGGGGATGAAGGACTTATGCGAAAGCTACTGGATGCATATTTCACACGTGAATACCACCTCTGGCCAGTGTTTCACAAGGACTACTTCTTGGAGGATTTATCAAGTGTTAAATCGCTCAATTCGAAGACGTCCAGCAGTTTCGCATCGCTAGTGAACGCCACGCTAGCATATGCATGCGTAAATATTACGATGCGTCTTTGATACACGAGATCACTGCTCTGACTTTGCCCTAATAGTGCTGCTACAAGAACATTTCGAATCGCTTTCGTCATTGGGAACCTGATGGTCTCTGATACCGTTTCTTCGCTGAAGCAAGGAGGATTTGGGAAATGCTCTCTGTCAGCGGCAAAAATCGCAATCTTGCGTCGGTCCAGGCTGCGATGATCATCAATAGCGTCTACAACATCTACGGCTTAGACAAGCTTGGTAGTGCCTACGGCTTGAAAGGTCTTGCTATTGCTAAAGATCTGAAGCTGTTCGATGGAAATGCACGGGTTAAGTCTGAGCGAAAACGCAACGCTAGGAACTTTTCTGCATGGTGTCTCTTCAACATTTATAGGTAAGTACCTCGTGTCTTGATTATATTCTAGACGACTAATACCAGAGTGATAGTCATACCCGTTCTGGATCATCCACCCAAGGTTCCACCTACTGATCCTTCTACGAACTCGGCCTGGTACGGCGAGATATGGACCAGGTACCCGCTGAGTCAAACATTGTCGCCGACATATCGTGGGTATTACTTCAAAGCTATAGCTGACTTCAGGGTAATCCTTAACGAATTGTCTCATGCGTCGTTCGGCAATAATTCAACATTCTCAGCGCAGCAAGCAATGATATTCGTGCGTCGGTTTATGAGTTGGTTCAAGGACCTCCCTACGGTTCTCAAGCCAAAGAATATTGTACTCCCAGCTCACTTTCTCATGCAGTAAGCCATCCTTTTCTTTTTTTTCCTCTAAGATCAAAAGAACTCGACTGATTGAACTATCAGCCTCGATTATCATATGGTCATCATGACGATTTGCCAGCCTTTTATCGGTGACCAGTGCAATGACGAGTATGCTCCCAAAGATATTGTTCTGAACGCAAAGCGCGACATCAATGCCCTCGTACGACTCTACTATACTCGATACGGCTTCACAGCCGCTAATGTCTACTTAACATCCCCACTCTCAAAAGTGGGCTTCATGTCTTTGCACAACATCAACAACCCGACAACGCGGAAGAGCTTGAATTGGATCGATCGAGTCTCCTTCTGGCTCTCGAAGGCCTGCGCGAACAAGGCCGCAATTACTACATGACAAGGACGATATACCACATTATGAAGTCCCAGCTCCGACCGGAAGAAGCAAGACTTCTACAGGGTTTAGAGACGCCGGAAACGTCAGCTGATGAGAGTCCTAGTCTGATGGTTGAGACACAGTCAGGGTGGCATCCCCGCATCGTTGATATTTCGGACGTCCCCGTCGACAAAGAACTCTCAAAGCTAGCAACCCAGTATTTAAAACTTGACTCGGGTGTGCAGAGCGACAGTGAGGTGGGTAGTAGTCCGGCTCCCTCAATCAGCACTTGATCTGCGTTACATGTGAATACAAGAGAGGCAAAGTCAGCTGTCAATGCATTCCCAAAAAGTCTTCCTTGGTGATACTTGAGGATCTACTATATACCATACGTGCGTTTTGTTGTAGTTCTGACCTAGATGCCGCGGATATATGTAGTAGCGAGAGATGTCGTAGCTCTGTGCTAATAAGCTTTTTAGTAGGTAGGTGCCTTTTACTAAGAATCGCGTTGCTCATGATGCTTGCAGCACGACTAGTGTTGAAGCGTTCTAATCGCGCACAATAAGAGCTCCTACTGCGCAATGTTGAATGACAAAAGCGGCCATCTCGCAGTAGAAATTTGTAATGTCCGTCACTGCGCATCGGGATACTCTGCGTGACAGGACGCTATAGACACTCTGCAACATAAGAAAGTGAGCAATATGTTAGCAGAATACACATTCTCGGAACAGCATCCCTAAGCTATAGAGTCCATTTTGTCTCTTTATCCTCTCGACATAGGTTCTGTTTCACTTCACTTACTCTCTTATAGCATAAAATAGTAATTCCTCTCTATTTCCATCAGATTATACAAATTACATATCTTCTTCAGAGCTTCGCCTCTCCGATCCTAACACACTCAGCTTCCTCTTCACCAGTCGCTCAAGTCTTTCTCAACTCACAGGTGCTTGTGGAAAAAGTCCAGTACCAGCTTGTAACCGCGCTCATAGCCCTTCCGTACTTGCTCCTTGCTTAAATCACTGCGAGCAGCCATCCAGCCGTGAATCTGGTCTGGGAACCACTCTACGACATGGGGAACTTTGATGCCTTGCTGCCACTTTTCAACGTCACCCTTGTCCTCGTCGCCAGATGGAAGCATGATGTAGGGAATGGTGATGCCAGGCGCATCGTCGCCAGCCACCATGGCGGGGTGGCATGCCGCTGCGACCTTGAACTTTGTGCCCTCCATTGCTGAGAGGTTGACAATCTACGCGGTGTCAGCTTGTGTTTAGTTCATGACATCATTCAAGCATACCTTTCCACCCCAGCAGTAGCCAACAATGGCCCACTTCTCGATGCCTTTCTTTTGACTCAGCTCATCCACAATCTTAGGGATGCGCGGCAGAGTCTTTGGGGGTGCAGCCTTCGTCTGGAAGAACTCTCCCATCTTCTTCTTCTTTTCATCGTTGTCCGGTGGCATCCATGAAATGTCGGCTGGGCTGCCCTCGAAAAAGTCTGGCATGAAAACCTGGTACTTTTGACTATCTGTGTATGCAAGGATGTCGGCTCCCTGCAGGGTCTGGTTGAAGAAGCCAAAGATGTCATAGACTACCAAGATACCGATCTTCGCGTCCTTGGGGCCAGTCGCATCTGGGTTACTATTAGCATAGACTGTGATGGGCAATTGATCGAACCTACATGTCTTTAGGCCATCAACCTCGATGTAGTCACCCTTGGGCTGGTAGCCCTCGCTGACGACAGCGGGGGTGTCACAGCATGCCTTCGACTGCGTGGATTCGGTCGACATGTTTGCAATGGGTCGTGTTGTTGGCGTGGTAAGCTCTTGTTTATATGCACTTGGGCGCTGGTAGCTAGAAACAGATCGTGGTACAGCAATTGAAGCACGACGCAGGTTGTGTGCAGCAAGGCGAGTAGGAGTAGATTGGAGAAGCGATCTTGTACGAGCAATGGCGCGCATGATGAGCTGGTTCGGTATTTGTCAAGCTGCCATCGGCCGCTTGGTGGGGAAGCTGCCGTTCAGACTACCCCACTCTCATGATGTCACCAGAGCTGAATGTGTAAAGCAACAATGGTATAGCTTCTTGTGCCACCTTCTATCACTACACCTGCTTGTCGTCAGAAATCTATGGGGATTACCAGGTAAAAGACTGGTAATAGTACATCTTGTTCTATTTCGCCGTCTAAGCATCCAAGTTGAGCCTTTCTAGCAGAGTATCTATCTTGCCCAGCAAAATCTGGTAGTTCATTGCATCTTGTGCAAATTCATCACCCACTTCCTCGCCGTCTAGATTCCTGATGACACCAGTGGCAACCTGTTGCTCTACCGATGCAATGTTCTCGTCATGTCTTGTCTTCTCTGGTACGTCGTCTTCCAGAGCAAGATCGCCAACTGCATCTACGATATCTCCTTCAGTCGTTGCCTTGATTGCTGCATTCTCATCCATCATTTCGTCCAACCCACTGTCCTCGAAGCGGAGCCTGAAGCGTTCAGAGAGATAGTACCGTATATCGTCAACGAGTTCAACAGTATCTGTTTCCTGTCGAGCTTTGACGCGTTTTGCAGATTCTTGAACAAGCTCGGCAAATTCTGGCTGATCAATGTAATACTCGAGGCGATAGGCAATGTACCTTGCAGCAAACTCCTCCAGACGCTGTACACGGGTATCCCAACCTGCCCGAATGACTTCGTAGATGTCAACAGCCTCATCGGCATCGGTAGCACCGCGGGGATTATCCGACTCCACCGCAGAGGTTGCACCGTTGCCCAGAGCAGAAATAATAATGGCTGCGCGCTGCTTGAGTTTCTCGATAAAGAGCTGATCTGCTGCAAATAGCACGTCAATGGCAATGTCAAGGCCAAAATCTGCACGCTCAGTGTACAAAAACCTCAAAATGGTCTCGAGAACCGCTGGCGAGCAGTCAATGGTTACAACCTGCAAGTGGGGTGTGTCCTGCGCCTCCTTGAATTGAGAGCTGAACATTGTCAGAAAATATTCCGAGCGCAGCAACATGGCCCGATGCGCAGGGAAGACGGTCGATTTGCGCGGCGCTCGCTGTCGCGATGGTGAGCGTGCTCGACCTGGACCAACTGGTATACCTGAGAGGGGTCCAGAAGTGGTTCGGACAGGCGGAGTCGACGACTCTGACGGCCCCAATGGCTGACCTGTTTCATTCTCCTCTTCATCTTCGTCGGCACGCAGCAGAATGTCGGCAAAGATTGAGTTTTGGCGATCCCATCGTATGCTATCCACCTTGTCGGTATCCACGACCTTCTTGTGCCGGAGAACGTTTGTTTTGAACCAAGACTCCAATTGGTCCCGACCCCGTTCTAATTCGTCTGCGCGCCGTTGGCGCAACAACCGTCGATCTGAGACTTCGGTGATGTCTTCAAACAAGCGTTCTATTTCTAGATGCTTGCCGATCTTATCGATACCGTTCAGTACCACGCGTTCTTTTTCGTCGTCGAGTCCAAATAGCGCCCGCCGAATCGAGACCTCTTGAAAGTAAAGATACTGCAGCGCCACACCAAGCGACTCTGCTGGGATAGTATCTGGCAGTCTCCACGTGGATGTGCTGGGCGCTGCCTCGAGCTTCTTTGCAAAATATGGGGATCGCGCAGCGAGGAGAAATTTGTGCAGGTGAAATTCTTGGCCATAGGCGGTGATTGTGATGTCAGTCGTCTTGGGCTCGGTCCTCGTCAGGAGGGAGGTGATGTGTGCGGCGAGCGGTTGCAGGGGATTCGACGACTTTGCATAGTCGTAGGATAGGAGGAGATTTCGTATCCGGTCGTTGAGTGCGTTATAGAGACATCGTTCGCCTTGGAAGGTATCGCGTTCGCACAGGGCGCCGTTCTCAAGCAGGAGGCGTATGACTTCGTAGTGGCCACACAGACTGGCCTTGAGCAGTCAGCGCATAGCCCTTGTGGTTATGCAGGGCAGCCAGGCGGGGTGTCATACCAGAATCAGGGGCGTGTAGTCAAACTTATCTCTGGCATTGATGTTGACTCCAGTGGAAATCATCTCCTGGCAGACCTTGAGGTCTCCACGGCGGCATGCCTCGCAGAAGAGTCTAAAGTCGTCGCTCAGGTCAAGAGGGTTCTCTTCCTTGAGCTGGCCCGACGAGATGGCCTGCGCCTCGGTCGCGAGGGCGGCCTCGATCTCGTACTTTTTCTTGACATCCATTGTTTTTGCGCAGTGGCAACAAGCATCGAGGACGTGTGGATATGTACGATGTGCATGTAGTGCTACTATGACGAGGGTCGGCGCAGATCGGAGGTGTGCTATCGATAAGGCCGGGCGCAAGGGAGACCCCGGCCAGCCAGCAGGACAAAGCCAGGCTAGTGCGCTGCGTTGCTGGGTTGACGGCCGCTAGCGTAAACAGCACCAAACACCTAAGAAACCTGGCCTTCTATCCCGCCTTTCCCGTCGTCCTCTGCACTCCTCCGCCACCGGCCCTCGAAGCTTTACTAACACAGCAGCCTGCTCTTCTTTTTGTTTTTGCATCCCATACTTGCATGTCTTTTGCGCAATAGACCTACCGCCACCATGCCCGAGGAAGACAAGTACGACGTGCTCGAGAAGATTGGTACGCACATGGCCTCGACGTCAATTCACACTCTTATCACCTGCTAACAAGCTGCAGGCCATGGCTCCTTTGGAGTCATTCGCAAGGTCAAGCGCAAGTCGGATGGATATGTATGCAATTCATGCACAAGACACACCGCACACCTGCTGACCGCTACATAGATTCTCTGCCGAAAAGAGATCAGCTACCTCAAAATGTCCCAGAAGGAGCGTGAACAGCTGCAGGCCGAGCTGTCCATCCTCAAGGAACTCCGACACCCAAACATTGTCGCCTACTTTGAGCGCGACCACATCAAGGCATCCCAGGACCTTCACCTGTATATGGAGTACTGCGGAAATGGCGACCTAGGCCGCGTTATCCGTGAACTGAAGAACAAGAACCAAATGTGCGAGGAGGAGTTCATCTGGAGCATCTTTAGCCAGATTGTGAGCGCATTGTATCGCTGCCACTATGGTGAAGACCCGCCTGCCGCTGGCCGCAACGTCATGGGTCTCGTTGGCAATGCGAAGCCTGTTCGCGACCCCCGCAAGCCCATGATCCTTCATCGTGATCTTAAGCCTGAAAACAGTCAGTACCCCCATTTTCCTTGCGCTCGTCTGTGCATGCTAACAGACGCAGTCTTTCTTGGCGACGACAACTCCGTCAAGCTCGGCGACTTTGGTCTCTCCAAGATTCTCCAATCCCACGACTTCGCGTCCACATACGTTGGTACTCCGTTCTACATGTCCCCCGAAATCTGCAAGGCCGAGCAGTATGGACCCCACTCGGATATTTGGGCCCTCGGTTGCATCATATACGAGATGTGCACAAAGTCTCCTCCTTTCAATGCCAAAACCCACTTCGAGCTCATTTCCAAGATCAAGTTGGGACGCTACCCCGACATTCCTGCCTGCTATTCGGCCGAACTTCGAAAGGTTATTGCCAGCTGCCTGAACACCACACCCGATCACCGCCCAGACACTGCCGCACTTTTGAACTTGCCAATCGTCAAGCTGATGCGCAAAGAGCAGGAGGTGGTTAAACTTGGACAGGATCTGCGCGAGCAGAGGATGCTCACTGCAAAGCGCGAGAAAGAGGCGAGCGAGGCCATCTCTCGGATTCGCAAAGAGCTCGACGACCAGTTGCGCCGAGAATGGGAGGTCAAAGCCCAGCTAGAGATTGAGCGACAAGTGAAGCTCCAGACCGAGCAGCGCGTGCAAAAGGAACTTGCCCACCTTCAAGCCACATTTGAAGGTGAGGTAAACAGACGTGTAGAACGTGCTCTGAAGATGTATCCAAACCGTCTCAGCACGTCGCCGAAGCTCGCTCCTCGATCCAGCACACCGACAACTTCAGCAACAGGGCCATCAGCCGCCTTGTTCCCAACCGATGTTGAGGCCCCAACCGCCAACAGCTCAACAAACACGTTGAACACAGACTCTGATTTCGCGAGTGGAACAGACTTGTCATCGCTTTCCCTCGATGACACCGCCGAGGATGCTGTTATTGCAGCAAGACCAAAGGCGAAGCGCCCGTCTCGCGGTCCGCTTATGCGCGCCCGTACCATGTTCAACCAGCCCTCGTCCACACAAGTTCCCGACTCCCCGATGGACGTCCAGATGGCCGAGCCTTCACCCGCTCCAACATCCCTCAAGGGACTCTCTCTTTCTCCCCGCCGTAACGCGCAGCCCAAGCAAAACATCTTCGCTGCCGCAAAGGAGGGTGCAAAGAGGTGGGAAGCAGACGTCCCTCCATCACCAACGGAGGCCGAGTGGAATGGCGACTTCGATGACGACGATGATCTTCCAGTACTACCATCGCCAACACGAGCCCGCAGTGCCTCTAGTAGCCGCCCCCGGAATGACGATCCATTCAAAGTACTTGCGAATGCCCAGGCGCCACTACTCAAGGCCAACACGCGCCTCGGTAATGCGCCAAATCTTCTTGGTCCCAGGACTACCAAACCACGACCAGTCTCTGCAGTACCCATTGTTGCAGCATCTCCCTCTCGGCAAAAGGCCAAGTCGACTGACAACGCATCGACGTCGCCACGAAAGGCGGGCGCCGCCACCAAGGCAATCCCATTTGCTGGTCTCCCGTCAAAGAAGGGCAACGAGGCGTTCCGTGCCCAAGCCCTGCGCAACAACGGCGCTGTTCAAGGTCGTACCCTTGTTGAGCTCCAGCAAGCACGCGGCATTCCTCTCCAGACCATGAGCGAGGACGAGGGTGGCGCAAAGAAGGGCTTCGGCTACGGTGGCCGGAGAAGCCCTGTTAAGCAACGAGGCGGCGGCATTAGCCCACCAGCTGTCTGGGATCCTAACACAGAGCCCGAGATGCCATCTCCCTTTATTGTTCGCAGCAAGCGCATGGTCCTATAGGGAGGACGAGCCGTTACAGCTCCGGAACGATTACGACAACTACGACAGTACGATGAAGAGGGGTGATATATACACAAGGTTCCGGAGATACACACATACACACATTTCAAGGCGTTACACGAGAAGGTCTAGAGGATCACTCGACTGGGATTTTTTTAACGGATGTGGAGTGCCTGGCGTAGAAGGTGGGGATTGCTGCTTGGAAAAAGCCAAAAGCATGTTATGCTTTTGCGTCCCGTCTTTCCCGACTACTTCCCTTTGTCACATCATTTTCTTGCATGTCTGCTTTTGCCACTTTTTTTCTTCCTTCGAGGGAGTGAGAGGCTTCCTCTATTTTCAGGGCGCATACGAGCATTCTATTTTTGATGTGTTATGTTTTGAGGGATTGGATTGGACAGAGGCGTTTTTTTCCTTGGGACGATGCTGCAGCTGCACTAATACTGTTGAACTGCACTGCATTTGTACTCTAGTCTCCTGTTTCTCCTTGTGTTTTTTTCCTTTGAGACGAATTTTATTGCTATATTTCGATCAATGACAGATACCCGAAGTTACACTGATGAATGATTTTGCAATCGATTTTGATCAAGTAGCTGTGAAAGTGATATGCAATATCTAGAGAGCCGACTGATGATACAAAAGGAGAAAGTAAGTCTAGGAACGAAAAGTATCAACGCTTTCAGCACAGAACCCTCTAGGCATCGTCTTCAAAGGACTGCCGAGTAACGACATAATTACCCTATTCACCTCCCTTTACGCAAAAAAAAAAGACAACATCATTACCGCATTGAAACCACAAGTAACAGACTTCTCTCCAAAACCTCACCACCCAAAACTCTCAGTATGCAAATAAATCCCCTGCGCCCCCGTTCCCTTATGCACCGCCCTCTCATCACTCAACGCCACAACATGCCGCCGAACATCACTCACCAAACCATGTGGTCCACAAACAACGACGCCGCTCTCTCCCCACGCCTGCTCGAGCGACTTGCGAATGATATCACGTAACTGGGGGCGTCCCGCCAGAATAGCAATGGACGGATGCGTAATCGTCAGAGAAGTAGTACGCGAATGCGAGTTGCGGGGTGATGACGTGTTGGCTGAGCAGCAACATGCGGTTCTGCGGGTGAGTGGGTCTTTTTCTGAGATGATGGCGCGACAGTAGCAGGTGGATGGGCCGATTGGGCTTTGGATGCTGGATGGGTCTTGGACTTCTAGACTTGTTGTTTCGTTTGAGCGGATCTGGTGGATTTCTTGTTTCTCGGTGGTAGTGGATTTGTTTTGGGAGGGGAGGGAGGAAGATTTGGGGTCGTTGTAATGCGGGGTGCCATGTATGATTTCGTCTTGGCGTGATGATGAGGTTGCTGTGGGAGGGAGTATGTCTGAGACGAGAGATTTTTGGCCTTCGGTGAAGGATAGGTCACAGGTGATGTAGACGCTCATTTCGAGCTTGATGTCCCGGAGTCTTTCCTGTAGGGTTTGGAATTCGACGTAGATGGAGGTGAGTTGTTCGGAAAACCAGTTGAGCTGGCCACTGCTCTTCACAACCCAGACAAAACGGATATGACGTGTGACGGCGCCAAGCGGTGTCTGGAGGAGCGACTTGGGTTTCAGAGTACTACGGTTGGCGTTTTCCTGCCAGCCCCGGATTAGGTCGCGAAGTAATGGCATTGTGAAGGTGCTTCCGGTACTGCCTGCCACAAGAACAACACTGTCGAACTGTCGGAGTGGTCGCAGGGTACCATAAGGGCCCTCAAACGTTACCGATCTGGTCTTTGCTAATGCTTCAGATGAACTGCTTGATTTTTCAGCAAAGCTGTGGAAGCGCTTTGTGCCGCCCTTTTCAGCCTTGACATAAAACTCCATCCGCCCATCTTCAGGTATTGTGGCAATAGTGAAGGGATGGCTCTGTAAGGGCACAACTGCTTGACAGGATAAGTATACGTGTTGACCAGGTTTCCAGCTCATTGGTGGGTTTCGGACAACTATCTTTGTTGTGTTATGCGATAGGGGTGTGAATTCGGCTTGGCACGTCAGAAAGCCTTTGATGTTTTCTTGCTGTCTTTGCGTGGGGTGAAAGAACGAGACGTTGAGATACAAGAGCCGCAAAGCTCGGAAGACGCGATCAAACAGGAAAATGGCAACCGGTGCCCAGACGTAGCCATGCATCTCACTGGGGCTATGGAGGTAGACGAACGCCAGGAAAACCGCAAAGGAGATGATGTGCTGGATGACAAATATCTCGTAACTCCACCCTCGGATTGGCGACATGGAACTAAAAACAATCCAGAACAAGGCACACCAGGCAGCAAGACCCTTCCATACAATCCTGTTGTTCTGGAGCTGGTAGCCAATATAATCGTAAGGCGCCCATGCACTGAAGAACCAGCCCATGTGCATGGTAGCTGTCAAGAGCATACAGCGAGCACACCACCGATGCATCCAGTTGAGTCGCTCGTAGCTTATCCCACTGAGATGGCCGATGATATTGTTCTTGCCTGCCAGCAGGACAATGATTGGGAACTGTGCGATTGTGACAACACCACATCGAAAGCCGACGCTCTCCCGATTGAGTACATCGTGCAGATCCAGCCCATAGAGACACAGCACGACAAGCACAACCACGTTTGCCAAGATCAGTGAGGTTCGACCGACGGTGGGTAATCTAATGGTCCGGCCTTTGATGGGTATATGTATCGAATAACTGGATGCCTCTCGGGTCAGAGCATATGTGGTCGCGTTTCCAAGCGCAAGCCATGACTTTGGCTTTGCAGGTGTTGGGGCACCACGTCCTGCTGCAGATAATCTTTGTCGATATAGCAGGTAGTTGTAGACATTGAAGAGCGTAGCGACGGCAACGGCGCTGCCTACTACTGCATAGTAGAAGTGTGGAAAGTCTCTGAGGGCGGGCAGTGAGCCCATGGAGCCCATGGACATGTGGCTGTGGCTCATAGTGTCTGGTGTTGGCGCGTTGTCGCAGCGTCTTGCCCGATTTGTATTCCCAGTTCTTTACACGTCTTCAGAATGGCTCCTGTGGTAAACACCAAGCCGGGGAAGCGTATGCCAACAGTTTCGTCTTCAGCACATGCTGGCAGTCTTGGCCACAGGCAACGAGGGCGCGTTTCAAGACGGTGGCTATTAGTAGTACGCTGAGCAAAGTATAAATGAAGGAAATGGAGCCAAAGTAGGTGTAAGTAGGTGATGAAGACAACGTGCGGCAGTGGTTCAGCAGAAAGTCCAGGGCTCTGTCAGCCACGGTCCGGGCAAAGTCAATCATTTTACTGCACTGCCGTCTTTTGATCAACTTAGATGCGGGCCCGATGGACTGGGGTAACGGGCTTGCTCGATAGCCCAGAGCCGTGGCGTTGCTTGAGCGTTGGACGCTTACCGGAAGCGGCTAATTATGCTCAAAGTGACTCCCTGGCTCTCACCAGACGACGAAGGGGGTTCGTTCGCTCGCAACTACCCTGCATTACGGCCTGGCCAAATCTGACGGCATTATTGTTAGCTTACCATGGCCGAGAACCCTCATCCTGACCCCTCGGCAGCTGGGCGCATCCGGGAAATATGCTCACCTGTCCCGACACTTCACGCGTCAGCCCAGGCTCGCCATCCTCTTGACTGTCGCAAGATCTCTCTTATACATCTCTCAGCTGTCGACACAGGACCAACGCCTCGTCGCCTTAGGCTTATGCGTCTATGCTAACTCTTGTATCCGTGTATCATCCGAGATCAGAACCAGCCAGGGTGTCACCCCACACTTTACCAAAGGAACCTTTAAGCGACCGCCTGCCCGAGTATCGGTGTAGCAGTCTGGAACTCGGAACCTAATTGTCAACACCTGTCTCTCCCGCGCAACGGAATCAAGAGCTTCTGTGAAGCCTCGCCACTACCAGCCTTCCTTTCGACACTCTATTCCATCACTTTTGCATAATGGTTGCACACGGAGGCCACGATGAAATGGCCATGGGGTCATCAGAGGGAATGCATGCGAGCGAAATGTCTGGCCATGGCGGCATGGCAATGGCCTTCTTCACAGCAACCAACACTCCACTGTACTCCAAATCATGGACCCCATCATCAGCTGGCCAATACGCTGGAACCTGTATCTTCCTCATCCTCCTCGCTATTCTCCTCCGCGCCGTCTTCACAGCCAAGACCTTTCTTGAAATCAAGGCAGTAAAGAACGCTCTGCAGCGCCGCTACGTTGTTGTAGCTGGCGAGAAAACAGTCCTTGACGATGATGCCAATTCGACACATGGCATTCTTACGACCAACGGCGTTCAGGAGAATGTCCGGGTCGTGTCTGCACCAGTATCTCCCGCCCAACCTTGGAGATTTGGCGTCGATCTTCCACGGGCCTTTCTGATGACGGTTGCGGCGGGGGTCGGATACCTCCTGTGAGCAGACCATCCCCCAACTCGTATCTACCGATGCTAATATTACAACAGCATGTTGGCAGTCATGACCTTCAATGTCGGATATTTTCTGTCTGTTCTAGCGGGCACGTTCGTCGGTGAACTTGCTTTCGGCAGATTCAATCAGGCCGCACCGCATTAATGGCCGACGGGACTCTGCTTTGACCTTATATCCGCACCGTACCGGAGTCTAATGTTGTAGATGCTTTTGTAGTACTTGCCCACTAGATAATTAGTTACCCAATTAGATATTTCCCACAAACAATACCTCGCATTCAGCCTGGTCCGACCTCGGTCATTTGCAACCAGTGGACTTTGCTTGTCTTGACCCTAAAGCTTATTTCTCCTTTTCCTTTGTCGTGTCTCACGTACCCATCTGACCGTGTACACACACATGTACAGATTATTTCCATGAGATCTTCGTGTCGAAGCTAATGGCAATCTCAAAGCCTAGGCCGGGTAGGGGTGGGGCTGACGTGAAAGGGACCCCTGTCCTGCACTAGTGACCATTCATCCATAGCACCGCTGCTTTGGTAAGAAACTTGCTCACGCTTCTGCATTCACAGAATAGTCCACCCTGATTCCTACCAACCAGGCCATACCGCCACCCGTCCAGTATCAAGTATCAAAACAAATAGCTCACTGACTTGTATTTTTCTGGCACCGGCGCGTGTCAGAGTCCGCTGCCGGGCACAGGTGTGGCTGCATCGGCTCGATGTGCACGCCACACCCTGCAATGGGAAAGAATGCACGGCATGACGGGAAGCAAGTACGCCCGTTCCTTGGGTCTAATAAATAAGGAACGACGCGCCTGTACTTATTAGACCGCCTGGCGCATGCAAGCGGCTTCACTGTCCCAAATCACGCCTCCTAGTTAATACCATTCCTCTCGCTCTTTCTCCTTCTCTCTCTCGTCCTCTCTTCCTCTCTTGAACAATCAACACCTCTACATACACTCACCGGTCAACGTTCAAAATGCTCTCCAACACTTTTCTCGCGCTCTCTCTTCTCCCCCTCACTCTCGCTCACTTCAACCTCAACTTCCCTCCAACGCGCGGCTTCGACGAGGACAAGGAGGGTAATTTCCCCTGCGGAGGTTACGACCAGGTCTCAGATAAACGCACCGATTTCCCTATCAGCGGTGGCCCTATCCAATTGGTTCTAGGCCACCCACAGACAAATGTCGCCGTTTACATGGCGATTGGCGACAACCCTGGAAGCGGATTCAGTGTCGTTCTGAAGCAACAGCTTATGGTCGAGGGTCTGGGTAACTTTTGCCTGGGCTCGGTTAGCATTCCAAAAGACCTAAACGTGACTGCTGGCACAAAGGCATCTATCCAAGTCGTTACCAACGCGCACAGCTCTGGCGGTCTGTTCCAGGTAGGTCATTGAATCAGGATACATGGAAGTGCTGAGTCGCTCATAAAAATACAGTGCGCCGATGTTACTCTTGTCGACAAGCAGCTCTCCCAGTCAGAATTTCAAGACAACTGCAAGAACAACACAGGAATAAAGGTGGCTCAAGAGAATATCTCTGGTAACCCCAACTCTACGGCTACGGGTACGGGTGGCTCAGACGACGATGATGATGACAAGCCCACAGCGTCTGGTAGCGGTAGCAGTAGTGCAGCGAAGCCCACAGCGGCTAGCGCAGCGACACATGCCCAAGCCATTTCATGGGTGTTGGGTGCTGTCGGTCTTGCTGGAATTGCTATGCTTTGAGTAATATTTTCGGGTTGATGGCGTTGATACCAAATTGAAAAGGTTGTTTGCATAGTGCGTCAATGTGCATGCAGTCTAGCACTGCGCTTTCTTTCCAGCATTTCTGTTTACCAACGTGAATAAATCGGCTGCTTCTTTGCCAGAAAAAAAGAGCTGCCTGGGCGAGTCTGAGCATGGCTATCAGCCCGATATGATGAAGCATCAACTAGGTCAAAGCTGGCTGCGAGGAATAGACGGTGTTGGGGGAGAGTTTCTGATAGAAACGAACAGAGAAACAAACGCGATTAGCTTCGAATCAGAATCAGTTCATTGGTTGCTCGAATAGCGGCGGTGCGTGGTGGAGGCGTGCGTGTCTTGTGTTCGAAATGGCTCTTGTCGAGTGTTGATCGCGCGCCCCTCTCCTCTGACGTTGCGGGGAAGGAGCTTCCAACAAGCGAGGCAAGCACACAATCGGCGCTTCCGTAGAGTTTCGCCGATGCCCGCAACAACTTCACCAGCTACACCACACTCCAAGTCTCGGCCACGATCCCGAATTCAGGTGCGTACCGGTCCCATATCCGCTGCAGCCTCACCCGCTCGACCTCCCGTGAGATTGTAGCCCGACCGCTGACGTTTGGCTGCCACAGATCTCCTCACCAAGTCACCTTCTTTCTCAACACCGCAAATATGGATCACGCAAAGTTGGCGCGTATGCAGGCGTCAGTGCGCATTGGTACGTAGAAGAAATTTGGCCCAAAATCTCCCTCAGGAGGAAGCAGCTCATCTTCTCTGGATACTTGTTCGCTAACATGTGTGCATAGGGTAAGCAACACTCTTCGCAATCTATTTTGACAGCCCCGCACCAAACAACGGTTCCGAATTTGCGAAACACCACCGCAACCCGCGACAGCCGAACAAGGACTCACGGATGGAAATGGCGGTTATGAGGTACACGAGGCTAATTGGATCAATAGCGGCAAGGGCACTCCCCGCAGGAAGGTCAAGAAGGTCCACAGGGGCGCTGGTACCGACGACAAGAAGCTCCAGACCGCGCTGAAGAAGCTCAATGTCCAGCCTATCCAGGCCATTGAGGAGGTCAACATGTTCAAGAGCGACGGCAACGTCATCCACTTCTCGGCACCCAAGGGTACGTCACCATCTCTCCACTCATTGCAATGCCGGGGGGATATTTGAGGTGGAGGAAGCATTGCCTCGCTGGAGATACATCTGCATTTTGTGTTGCCGGATCCCCCGTGCTTCCGTACCTGCAGCGACTGACATTTTCGCTATTGTAGTCCACGCCTCAGTACCCGCCAACACCTTCGCCATCTACGGACACGGTGAGGACAAGGAGCTGACAGAGCTCGTCCCCGGCATCCTCAACCAGCTCGGCCCCGACTCGCTCGCATCGCTACGCAAACTCGCCGAGTCTTACCAGAGCATGCAGAAGGAGAAGGGCGAGGACGGCGAGAAGAAGGACGACGACGACGAGGATGACGATGACATCCCCGACCTCGTCGCTGGCGAGAACTTCGAGTCGAAGGCTGAGGTCGAGTAAGAAGCTACTCCAGTCTTAGCCAAACAAAGACTAGGCAGTGTTGAGGAGGAGGCTACGTGCAATGATGGCCTGCCGCATGTACATTGGTTTTGAGGACTTCATGAATGCAATGATCATTACGGTCAGCAGCCGCGGCGAGTTTTGCATGCACATACCGGGCTGGTGTTATACCTCGGAAAAAAAGATATCAATGAAAGTCTTCTAGCACGCTCCCCATGTCATCACCATGCACCAATTGCAAGTTCTGAAGGTACGTGCATGCATGCTGACGTGAAGCTTTGCATCTTGGACGCGTAACCAGCTCGACTCCATATATCCTTGCTCGAAGAGTTACACGCGCTTTGAAAATACGCAAAGGCATTGACCCTGCATCACTATGGCTAACCTAAGATGGCCGTCAATAAGGTATTTGATCTAGATGTATGGAACAGGTCTGTGTTGATCGCAATTCCTCGTATCTGACTTGACACCAAGTCAGCGGCAGATCAGTTATCGGGACTAAGCATGAAAGGGCTAGCAGCGACATGGTTAGACTTGGCGCTATCTTCACAAGTGCAAGCCTCCAACATGCCATCACCTGCCTGGAAAGCTTGACTAGGAGATCCAATACGATTGATAAGCACGAGCATATGCATACTTCAAATGATCGGTGTTGAGAGGTTTGCGACAACTATCCACGAAAGCTACAATAGGTGCGCTCTCCGCGATAAAACGGTCCAGACGCTCTTGTGGGTCACGACTCGCGATTATGACGGCTCCCCACTTGGTATGACCCTGAGTCTTGAACCGCGCCCCAAACCTTAATGCTATGCGTCTTGGAAATAATTTCTTTTGCGACCCCTTTGTTTATTTTCCTGTCGTCTTCTCCAGATACCCCTCCTGAGTGCAACAACAAACAACAACACCCAGGATGAGTACCGAAACCATCCTCATACTCGGCGGATCATTCGCAGGCATCAGCGCCGCCCACTTCTTGCTCAGGCACGTCGTACCTCAGCTGCCTAAGAATGATGGTGTCACTTACAATGTCACCATGGTCAATCCGTCGAAGGATCTTTGGTGGCGCTTTGCTTCACCCCGCGAAGCTGTCTCGAAGCAGATGATGCCTTCGGATAAGACTTTCTACCCAATCGAGCCTGCATTCGCGTATGCCTCTTCCAAGTTCAAGTTCATTCAAGGCATGGCGACACATGTGGATGCTGCTGGGCAGATTGTGTCTGTTGAGACTGCATCCGGCGAGCAGCAATCGATTCCCTATGCAGCTCTCGTAATTGCAACCGGATTCACAACACCGAGTCCGCTATTCACACAGGCTACTGATCGCGAAGCCCTTGAGAAGGTACATGCCGCTTTTCAGGAGGGTCTCAAGACGGCTAAGGATGTAATCATTGGCGGAGGCGGACCAGTCGGTGTCGAGACAGCAGGAGAGATTGCAGAGATGCTCAATGGCAAGCCAGGCTTCATGGCGTCTGCGCCCAAGAACCCCAAAGCACAAATCAGAGTCTTTGTCGCCGACAGGCAGCTCTTGCCTCTTCTCCGACCTGCCATCGGACAGACGGCCGAGCAATTCCTGAAGCGACTTGGGTGTAACGTCACATATGACGTAAGGGTCATTGGATCATCTAAGATGAGTGAAGAGGAAGGCGGAAAGACCAGGGTGGATCTCTCCAACGGAGAGATACTCGAGACCGACATATACATTGACGCGACCGGTACCCGACCCAACACTGGCTTTCTCCCCAAAGAATGGCTCGACAGCCGCAATCGTGTGGCCTGCAATGCGAAGACTCTCCGCCTCGAACATGAATCTGCCCGCGTCTACGTGGTCGGCGACGTAGGCTCGTATACCCGGGGAGGTGTCATGGACATGTACGACGCGATACCTGTAGCCATGACGAACCTCAAAAACGATCTGCTGGCCCACTTAACCGGCGAGCCACACAAGGGCGACCGCCACTACGCTGCGAACATGAAGGAACAGCAAGTTGTCCCCATTGGTACGCAGAAAGGTGTTGGCGCGTTCAATGGGTTCCGATTGCCTAGCCAGATGGTGTGGTTCATCAAGGGCCGGGACTATATGATTTCGCAACTTGCGCAGGCTACCTTGAGGGGCGATCAGTTCAAGAAGGAGGGCAAGTGGACACCTGTTCAGGAGACAGGCAAAGCCGGACTAAGCGCTGCTTAATGCAGAATTGTTGTTCGAGTTTAAGAAAGGCGGCCGGTACAGTATACGGCGTCTTGGATCTATTTGGATGCGTGGGCATGGCAGAGGAGCGTCGCATTGCATTTGTCTTCGATGGAATACCCCTGCTACATAGCGCGCATTGAGCATACACATGATTATAATACTATTTCTATTCCAATCCTATATTACATGTAAGCCAAAGCCGTGCTCGATTCCCCAGTCTTTCAGTTTCATTGAACCATGTTACAAGATTGCCGATCCATTTATGCGTGAGATGATCGCGGCCGCCCCACACGAATAAGCTTAAACTTAGCGCGTCATGACCAGAGCTCCAAAATTTCCCAACGTCGACGTTCGACTTGTACAACACGCTGCGCAATACATTACTTGTCCTTTTCTGAGCCTTCACAACCGAAACCTTCTCAATGGCGACTGAGACCCGTCCACCTCCAGCTCTCACCTTTCCCCGCCCCATCTTCGCCGCCGTCTCTCCACACCCGTTCCTCCAAGCGCACCTCTCTGCTGAGAAGAAGAAGCCCGTACGCGCCAACGGCCGAACCGCCAATGAGTTTCGAACACCAGGAGTAAACACCGGTAGCTTGACACATTGCAATGGCAGCGCAGTCGTGCGCCTGGGCAACACGAGCGTGGTTTGCGGCGTACGTGCAGAAATCTTGAAAGAGGAAGACATATCAGGCGCCTTTGAATACCCCAAAGACTTGACGGGTCAGGATGATGCAGCACAAGAAGAGGATAGTGAGGAAGTAGAAGGACTGAGGCTGGTGGTTCCAAACGTCGAGCTTTCTACTGGAAGCACACCGTCACACATTCCGGGCAACGCTCCCTCGACATACGCACAAACACTCATCACGCGGATACGATCACTTATCCACTCAACACGACTACTCCGCGCTTCAGATCTCCGCATTCTATACAAACCCTCTACGAATCCCGAGGACCCTGATGTGGAAGCAGAAACACAGTTGAAGGGGTACTGGGTTCTGTATCTCGATATCTTCTTCATAAGCATCGATGGAAACGCGTTTGATGCAGCATGGATATCAATGCTCGCTGCTCTGCGCGACACTCTTATACCACACGCATACTATGACGAGGAGTTTGAGGGGATACTATGTTCCGACAATCCGCAAGAAGCACGCCGATTGCGATTACAAGGTCTACCGATACCCAGCACATATGCGGTGTTCGAGGGCAGGAAGGAAGAGGATGAAGACGTAGACTGGGTACTCAGCGATCCCGATGCTTTTGAGGAAGGAGTATGCAGAGAGACTGTCAGTGTCGTTGTAGACTGCCAGGGTGGGAAGAAGGGCACGAAAGATCTGGTGATTCGAAGGGTAGAGAAGAGTGGTGGGGGTGTCGTTGGAAGGGAGCTAATGGGTGGTTTGATTAAAAGGAGCATTGATCGCTGGAGTGCTGTCGAGGCTGTGTTGGGCGGCAAAGCTTGAGCGAGATTGCACCCGCCATTGGACAGCATGGAATATGCATCCGAAGCTTTGATTGTCTTTGTGCACAGATCATGGGTGTGAGTAAGGTAGCAGAGTACAGGCTCCTAGCTCCAAGCGTAGAGTCGCACAATACTGCGGTAGGTAAAGCGACATCGAAAGCCCGCTTAACGGCAGACTCAACCTGTTCGAATATGGTCTTGGTACGCTGGGTATTGGGAGAGATATCATGGCAAGACGGGGCTGTGTGTGCGTATACATATGTACGTACAAATGATAGTACCACAGGGAGTGCACATGTACGTACTGTGAAGCGGAGCACGAAGCGGCACGGTAGAGGCTACGTACATATAGATGAATTTAAGCAGCGCATATTATGTCAGGAAAACAATGTCACATGATTGCTTCATCCATCTCCTATTTTACACATGCATTTCTGTCATCAGTCCGTCAAACCTACCTGCTTACCGTAGTGGAACGCCATTCGTGCCGCTACACTGGCGCACCACGCTCCCCACGATGAAGCGTACATTACAGCGCGACACTGGAGCCGAATCCGCCAGGGGAAATGTGTAATAGAGTACGTCGATCAATGTAATCCACGTGGCTCGCTTGCGGGTAACAGGTGTTTGATGAAAAGTGGAGACGGACATGCCTTATCGATACTGTTTGGGCTTGTGGGCTGTTGTTGAACTGCCAGGCGATGGGGCGCTCAGGTAGTACTAGTCGGCAAAATTCGTCAGCAGAAAGAAAAAAACAAGTCCGACTACTGCAGAACGGCATGTTGGCGGCCGCTCTCTACCAACCGGAGTATAACTGCGGGAACGCGGGACTTCTCGAACTAGACGCTGGAGCGAAATACAGGCTAGTGCCTGCACCACGGTCGGACTATGCATGTCGGCGTGAAGGTCACTAGACGAAAGCGAGTCGCTGTCCCCCTCTCGCCTCGTATACTGTATGCGCGTACGCGAAAGACGCACATTCGGGATTCGAAACTTGACTGACAGGTTCCTATGTGCAGGGCGAAGTACACTATCACAGGGGACATGTCGCTTCCAGTCACCTGGGAGGTACAATCACTGAATTGACTTTCGTGGCGGCGGCGCAGCGGCTACAGGGTGTTCAGCTCCACATTCGGACTTGAATACCAAGAGAGAAGAGAAAGAAAAAAAAATAAGCCGTGTTGTTTCCTACAATGTCGGCAGATTTTCGTTTCGACACAAAAGCCCAAGGCGCTTGTTCTATGGAAAAGCCGAAGAGGAAACTGTAGCAGCTAATCGAATGCGAGGGCTGACGTTAATCTAAGGCAGGGGCAGACATCACCGTTTGAAGATCAGCCACTTTTGGGACGATCGTGCCACTTAGCGCTCGCGTGGCTCCTCAGGAACAGGCCTGGTTTGTTCCCATCCTATGGATTATGTCAACCCGCTATCGGAACTGTCGAAGAAAGAAAACACTCCCGCTGCTGGGCGTCGCGCGAACGCCTTGTCGGTTTGTTTCAAGTACCGATGGCAGAGAAAGCTAGACGCTTCTCGCTAATACACAATGCTGCCTGACGCTTTCTCTCAACTTTTAGCGGGCCTTGTCGTGACCTTGGAGTACCGAAACTTGTTTCTTGGTATTCGTTTGTCCCGCTTCGCCCGAAGGATTCGCTTTATCATACCCCCTGACACCCGTGCCGCTTGTGAACTGCGCGCGGCTCCCCTGGCTCAGATCGCCACCACCCGGAAACGGGTGTGGATCTAGTCTTTTTGGTGTCACTTCTAGACGCCTAGGCTTATCTTGATAGAGTCCGTGGCATGGGGGCTGCCCACTGTGGCTGCATGCAATTCCACATGCAGGAGGCCTTTTTGGCGTATATTTATCCAAGGCCATCTCCCCCTCTTCACACTTTGTCTTACCTTTGCATTTGCATCACTGTCCCTCTTTCTCTCTCTCTTTTTGGCTTCCGGTACAGGAATACCATCCCTTCCTTCTTTGTCGACTTGTCCATACACACTCTTTTTTCTGATATCCCAGAGCATCTAGAGTCCGTGACTCGATACCTTCATTCACACACAGCTCACTCCTTTTTTTGCTGTTTTACGACACAGACTCACTGTACAAGACTCCTGAACATTGTCACTGAGCCATCATGCGTTTCGACATTGTATCTCTCACGGCTGGCTTTGCCGCCACTGCCTCAGCTCAGTGCTATGGCAACTACTTCAGCTTCTACAACCGCAACGGTCCGGCTATGAGCTACCAGCGTCTCGACCCTGGTCTGTTCCCTGGAGCTGAGAGCCCCCATCTTCACTCCTTTGACGGAGGAAACGGACTGAAGCAGACGGTCGACTACGCCGGCCTCCAGGACTCGTCCTGCTCCACTGCTCGTGTCAAGAGTGACAAGTCTTTGTACTGGCGCCCTACCTTGTTCTTCAAGAGCGACGCCGGCTTCCAGCGTGTTCCCGAGAAGGCAACCAAGATCTACTACAAGTACGGTGATGGAAACAACTGGGCAAACGTCACTGCGTACCCTAAGGGTTTCAACATGGTTGCTGGAAGGCCCAACAGGCGCAGCAACAGTGACGACAACGCAGCCGGTGTCCGCTGGGGCTGCCACCAGCCCGACGGCGGCGAGACGGCTATCTTCGACAACGGTTTCCCCAAGGGCTTCACCTCTTGCAAGTTCGGTTTTGCCTCTGAAGTGACCTATCCTTCTTGCTGGAACGGAGAGCCCATGGATCCCAAAGATGGCTATGCGCACATGGCCTACCCCAATGGCAACAGCGGTGTTGGTATTGAGAACTGCCCCGTCACCCACAGAGCCGCACGCTTCCCCACTCTTTTCATCGAGTACTGGTGGGACATTTCGTCTTTCAAATTCGGTCCTGATGAGGCTCCTTGGGTCCTCTCCAACGGCGATGCCACTGGATACGGCTTCCATGCTGACTTCGTAAGATTACCTGCTTCCATTCCAATGCCACTATGCTGACAAGATGACAAGATGAACGGATGGGACGAGGGTGTCCTCGACAAGGCCATCAGCGAGAACGACGGTTGCAAGTGCGGCTGTGGTTGCGGTCAAGAACAAATGGAGCAATGCTTTGGCTCCGCCAACGTCAACAAGGACAGTGATGACTCCTGGGCAAGCTGCTCTGCCGCCGAGACCCGTATGTCGAACGATGCAGAGATCCTAGACGCCCTCCCAGGCTGCAACCCCGTCCAGTACGGTCCCGCCTCCGCTACTCCCGCCTCCGGCGCTGGCTGCAACGCTGCCCCAGCTGCCCCTACCGGCAACAAGAGCACTCAAGCCTCCTCCCCAGCAGCAACCCAGACTCCTTCTGGCAACGCCTCAGCTCCTGCCGACTACAAGTCCACCTCCAAGGCCTCTCCCGCCGTAACTCCCGACGCCACCCCCGAAGCCACCAGCTCCCCCTCCCTCTACCCCTCCTACGCCGCCGGCCTCCCCAACAAGGGCGTCGACAAGGAGGAATCCGGCGACTACGACGCCGCACAGCCAACTCCTATCGCTTCTCCCACCGCCCCGGCTGATAAGACTCCCAGCCCCGTCGCTGGCGGCTCCAACAACAGCGATGACGAGGAAGAGGAAGACTGCAAGCCCCCCGTCACAGTCACATACACACCCACCGTCACCGTCACCGCCACCGTTGCAAACGTCGCCGACGCATCTATCTGCACCGGTGCACCAACTGTGTACAAGACCTTGACTGAGACGGTTACCGTACAGGCTTCGGGCGCCAAGGAGACTCCTGCCTCGTACTACTAAACCATGCATACCAATAGTGTCCCAATCGGCCATTTTGGGCCCCTTGTGTACAAGTCTGGCAGCGCTTTCAGGCGTCTGCTATGTGGGTGGTTGGTCATTCGTTATTCTTTTTCTGAACCACACTCAAAGATGAAAAAAAAATTTCATCTGAATCTTCATTGTATATATATTACCTGCCATGACTGAGAGGAGAAGTAAATGAAAAGGATTGGAGTTGAAAGATACTATGCACCTGTTTCCATTGTGATACTACTTTGTGATGTTTGATAGCTAATACACTGGTACATTGTATTCACCCTTGTAGACCCCAGCCTTTCTCAATTGACTCTCCTATCTCTCTTGTCTCTGGGGAAAAAAAGGAACAACCCCTCACGACGGAAATGAGGAAGGAGGTGCAAAAAGGAGGTGAAGCTCTTGACGAGCTCCGGCTTTTGACTCAGCCGAGGTTTGAACTCGGGACCTTCAGTGTGCCTAACAGGATGTTAGACTGACGTGATAACCAACTACACCACCGAGCCCTGCTTTGATGTAAGTTGAGATGGTTGGCGCGTATATATTCTGAGCAACATGTGTGAACACCACTCGAACCGGGATCTGCCAAGGATGATCAATCCGGTTTAGTGGATACAAACTACCGACCCAGCAACCGAGGGCTAGTAAATCAAATAGGTACGTCCAGCCGACTTTGGAGAAGCTGGTATGTACAGGCATTGCGGGACGAAATGCTTCATTCATGACTGGGAAAAGACTGCTCAAAGTGTTTGCAGATCAGAGTACAGGCGCTTGTTGAAGTTGTTAGAGGTGTATGGTGAATAGGGGATCCATGTTTGCGGGTGATGGCAGCTTGTTACTAGATCACCACGTCCCTTCAAGACATCAACATCTCGCACAACTATCAACCAAAGTCTTTTCGTCGCTTGCGATATATGTATACACAAAGCCGCTCGATGGAACCGAAGACGAGACACGGAGAAGTGTGGGGCTCCCGGCACGTGGGGTGGCTCCTGGGGTTGGGGCGGCGCGCGACGAGGCCGAGGGCATACCGGCAATTGATCACGTTGCGGACGGACGTGTCGCACGTTATCAAGAAGCATTGCGCACGTCTTGGGACATCTTCATTTTCCGGTCGCTTGCTTACACTCTTTTTCCCTCTTCTTTCACAGTCTTGTGTATTTCCTAACAGCTTTGAAAGAAATCATTATGGATCTCAAGGATCTTGGTGAGTTATTTCCCCATGCTGTTGAGTTGTTGCGAGCGCGACGCTGTTGCACACATCCCAGCTAACCCGGCCCTTTCTAGCACCCGTTGCAGGCGCCGCCATTGCAGGCGTTACTGCTGCTGCCGCATACATCGACGCCAAATATCACATCTCCAAAGATATCGCAGGAATTCGCGGTCAAAAAGCCGCAGCGCGTGGAATAGAGAAGAACTGTAAGTTCGGGCTGTTTGTGTGTGCTCACATCACCCTTTGCTAATAGTCCCGCAGCTCGAGGCAAGGGCCAATCTCTCTGGTACCAATTCGAAAGCCAAGTTCGCCGTCTCCCCTCGAACGAAGAGTGCATCTGGTCTCGTAACGGATGCTACACCTGGGCCGAAACCTACGCGAACGCCTGTCGCTATGGCCAATACCTCCACCAGCATGGCGTCGTGCCCGGACAGCTCTTCGCCATGTACATGATGAACCGACCCGAGTTTCTGTTTGCTCATTTGGGCAGCTGGAGTATAGGAAGTGCCCCGGCATGGATCAACTACAACTTGGCGGGTGATTCGCTGTTTCACTGCTTGAAAGTAAGCGGTGCCAAGGTGGTACTTGTCGACGAAGACCAAGAGTGCAGGCAAAGGATAGAAGATATCCGCCAAAAGTTGGAGGAAGAGCTCGGCATGACTATCTTGATTCTGGACAACAATCTAAAGGGCGAGATTTCGAGGTCGGAGCCCAAGAGGCCAGAAGACTCCCTTCGAGTAGGCGCAAAGGGCAAATTCCCTCTCTTCATTTTCTACACGAGGTTGGTTACTACTACACGTTCTTTCAGAGAAGCGATCAGCTGACGATACCAGTGGAACGACTGGACACCCAAAAGCCTGCCCATTCCCCACGGAAAGAGCGGCCGGTTTGACAGGTCGTGTAGGTGCCATGGGTCTGAAGCCAGGACCTAATGGTGATCGATGGTATGTCTGCATGCCTCTTTACCACGGTACCGGAGGTACCACCGCACTCGTGTGCATGATTACTGGTCTTACCTGCTGCATCGGCACCAAGTTCTCCACATCAAGATTCTGGACCGACGTACGTGACTCCAAGTCTACTGCCATCGTGTATGTTGGAGAGACGGCCCGTTACCTTCTCAACGCCCCTCCAAGTGATATGGACAAAAAGCACAATGTCCGAGCCATGTTTGGAAACGGTCTTCGCCCAGATGTATGGCAACGCTTCGTCGATCGTTTCGGTATTGAAATTGTCGGCGAGTTCTTCAACAGCACAGAAGGTGTTATGGCGCTCTTCAATGGTTCTCGCGGACCCTTTACAGCCACTTCAGTCGGACACCAAGGTCTCATTGACCGCTGGCGATTCCACAACACCTATGTCCCTGTCGAGGTCGATATGGTCACTGGTGATCTCCTCCGTGACCCCAAGACTGGCTTCTGTAAACGCAAGTCGTATGAGGAGGGTAGCGAGATTCTTGTTCAGTTGCCCACCGAGGACGCCTTTGTTGGCTACTGGAACAACCCTGAAGCCACTGAGAAGCGCTTCGAACGTAACGTCTTCAAGAAGGGTGATCTCTGGTACCGCACAGGTGACGCCCTTCGTCGTGACGCCGACGGTCGATGGTTCTTCATGGACCGTCTTGGTGACACTTTCCGCTGGAAATCCGAAAACGTCAGCACAGCCGAAGTCAGTGAAGTCCTTGGATCCTTCCCCGGTATCCAAGAAGCGAACGTTTATGGTGTCGAAGTACCAGGCTACGACGGTCGAGCAGGCTGTGCGGCCATCCTCATTGACCCTGCACACCGCGATTCGTTTGACTTCAACGCACTACTTGCCCACGCGAGCGCAAAGTTGCCCAAATACGCAGTCCCTGTCTTTTTGAGGGTACAAAAGCAGCAAACTACCATGCACAACAACAAGCAAAACAAGGTCCCATTGAGGAACGATGGAATTGACCTAAGGAAATTGATGGAGAGGACAGACAAGGAGGCCAAGGAGCAGGGCAAAGACCAAGCTGAATACGACACCATCTACTGGAACCCAACTTTGCTCGGAGCTACCAAGAGCAAGGGTGCTGAAGGCGGTTATGTCGTGTATACCATGGCTGATTGGGATACGCTGCAGGCAAACAAGGACCAGGGCGCAAAACTATAGGCTGTTTGTAATTGTGCATATTTTTTGTTAGTTCGTAGCGTTCTCGTTTATCAAATGGATTGTATTTGTATCCTGTCTGGACATAGCCGTGATTCTGGAAATACTGAGTGAATGACTGTCATTGGACTGTATTCTTCTACATATGTTGTACTTGTGTATCCGATATTTACTTGTATTATTATAGAATCGACTGGATGAATGCATTGTTCTTAGTTGAATGCAGATGCATCTGTCCGGTTCTGCAGCTGGGCTGGGGACATGCGTGTTTGCTCTCCAACAACTTCACACTCACTCTCACACTCACCACAGTTGCCTGGAGCTCACCATCCCCGTCCTTCCATTTAAGCGACTCCCCTTCGATTCCATCTCTTCTACTACAACACAACTCTTTACTCAGGTTGTAACCTAAGAGTTGATAGCAACCATGGGTAAGGACACCGATACCGATCGCAAGGACGCAAAGACCCCAGTCACCCCCGTGCCAGTTGATCCAGATGCCGTCACGACGAGCTCTCTACAAGCTCTTCAGTCGGCGGACCAGCGCAGGGTCATGGATATTGTGGACAAGCTGCGCCGCACTGGTTTGAGCGGAGTGGTGGAGCTGCCTCAGCTCATTGTCTGCGGTGACCAGTCCTCTGGCAAGAGTTCAGTACTAGAGGCGATCACTGAGATTCCGTTTCCTCGCAAGGAAAACCTGTGCACACGATTTGCCACTGAGGTGAGTCCAATGATATCTGGAAATTATGTAATGGTCTAACGATACACAGATCATCCTTCGCCGCTCCCCGGCTTCGACGAGTACTGTCACGATTACGCCTGACAAGCTGCGCCCAGAGTCTGAACAAGCCAAACTCAAAGGGTTTACCAAGTCTATCCAGAACTTTGATCAGCTTCCAGATGTGATTGAAGAAGCGACTCTTGCCATGGGCCTAGGCGTTGTGGGCGGTATCAGCTCCAGGGCATTTTCTCGCGATGTGCTGTCTGTCGAGATTACAGGTCCTAGTAGGCCTCAGCTGTCAGTGCTGCTCCCTGGGATTGATGTTGTGATAAAATGACATCATCTAGAACTCTTGTTGATCTTCCGGGCCTTATACATGCAACAAACAAGGCCCAGACAGAAGCGGACAAGGAACTGATTCTGGACCTTGTTAGTCAGTACATGAAGAACCCGCGCACCATCATCCTGGCTGTAGTGAGTGCAAAGAACGACTTCGCCAACCAAATCATTCTCGACCATTGCCGCAAGATTGATGAGCAAGGCCGTCGCACTCTCGGCATCATCACCAAACCCGACTTTCTTCGCGAGGGCACTGACAACGAACTGAGCTGGATCGAACTTGCCCAAAACAAAGACATCTATCTCGAGCGCGGCTGGCACATGCTCAAGAACCGTGCCGACAACCAGATGAACTTTTCATTTGATCAGCGCAACAAAGACGAGGCACTGTTCTTCAGCAAAGGCCGTTACGCCCAACTACCTCGCGAGTGCGTTGGCATCACCTCTCTCCGCGAGCGTCTCAGCAAGGTCCTACTACACCACCTAATCCGAGAGCTACCATCACTCAAGGAAGAAATGATGACCAAGTACCGCGCAACGCTGGACGAAATCTCCAATCTGGGCGAAAAACGCAACACCAGCCACGAGCAACGCGTCTTCCTCATGAAAATCAGCATGAAAGTAAACGACATCCTGAAATCCGCTATAAAAGGGTACTACGAGTCGCCCTTCTTTGGAACCATCAACAAAGACGCCGCCGTCGATTCCTCAGGAAACATCCGTAGATTCCGCGCCGTGGTCCAGCATTTCAACATGGGCTTCGCAAAGGACATGCGGCTTCGCGGCCACCGTTACAAATTCGAAGCCGGACCTGGCGACGACGAGCGAGACTCCAGAGAAGCCATGGAAGCCCAAAAGGAACTCGAGCGCGAACTCAAACAAGAAAAGGACACTACCACATGTCTTCCTGTGCCTAAGAAACTCTCCCGCGGCGAAGCAGTCGAATGGGTGAAAAAGACCCTCGAACACTCCCGCGGCTACGAACTCCCCGGTACCTTCCAGCCCGTCCTGATATCCCAGCTTTTCTGGGAGCAATCCCTACCATGGGAAGATCTCGCCTCGCTGCACATTTCGAAAGTAGCGCAAGTGTGCCGCGACTTCATCGACGTGGTGCTGGCAGACTGCGTGCCCGAGGAGTTCAAAGAGCGGCTTGTAGCGCTGAATGTGGATGCGGCGCTGAGCAAGTCGCTGGGGGATGCGCGGGAGGAGCTGGCCAAGGTGCTGAGGGATAAGGCGCGGCATCCGTCGACGTATAATCATTAGTTTACGGCGACGATTCAGAAGATGCGGTTGAGGAAGCATCAGGCGCTTAGCAGGGCTGCTACGTCTGCGGCGGAGGTAGAAGTGGGTGGCTGGGAGGACCGGCCAATGTTTATTGATCCAATAAAGTTGGCGGCGCAGCTGGATAAGTCGATTGAGCTCGATATGGATACGTTTTCGAGCCAGGAGGCGCTGGATATGCAAAGGGCATACTACAAAGATGAGCTCGGGTACTTCATCAACACCGTGGCGAAGGCGGTGGTTGAGCGGCATTTGATAGAGACGCTGCCGGATGTCATTCTTTCGCCGCTGGTCGTGACGCAGATGACGGATGAGCAGGTTGAGTATGTTGCTGCTGAGCCGGTGGAGATAGTACAGCAGAGGGCTCATCTGGAGGCGAGGAAGGCCATGTTGGAGAGAGGTCTGGAAACCTTTCGAGAGGCCATGGGTGGTGTGAGGCGCTAGGTTCAGCAAAGGTATTTGGGTTTGTAGAGGGCTGAGAGTTTGGTGGTACCGCTGGATAGCCAAAAAAAAAGTGGGTTGAACGTGCAGCACAGATGGCTCGTACGGTCGAATACTGGGTATGGATTCAGGGGTGATTTGTAAGTGAGTCAACGTCATCTTGATCCACCCTCATGAATGATTAAACTTCTTTATTATTTTCTCGTGACTTTTACATCAGTTCATGCTGTAGCTCCTCTCTTTGCCCTCTTCACTCATCAGGGTAGGCTCAAACTTTTGTTTGCGTGCCTGTGTTGCACCCGATGCCTTCCATGCAGATAGGATCAAATCTACAATGGCGTCGACGCCCTGGTCCCTTTTTACAACGGCGAAAATGGTCGGTCCCCCTTCACGCATCCGCCTACTGTCCCTCTCCATGACATTGAGGTCAGCGCCTACAGCCTCAGCCAGATCGATCTTGTTTACCACCAGCAGATCCGACTGTGTGATACCGGGTCCACCCTTCCTTGGAATTTTATCGCCTCCAGAGACATCAATGACATAGATGATGAAGTCTGCGAGTTCGCGCGAGTAGTTTGCAGCAAGGTTGTCGCCGCCGGATTCGATGAGGAGTAGGTCGGTGTTGAACTTGTGGTGGAGGTTGGTCAGAGTCATGAGGTTCACGGAGATGTCTTCACGGACAGCCGCGTGGGGGCAGCCTCCGGTTTCGACGGCAACAATGCGCTCGCTGTGGGTATGGGTCAGAGAGGGTTGGTCCTGGGAGATGTTGAAACGGTCTTACGCAGGTAGGGCATTGTTCTTGGTCAGGAACTCGCAGTCCTCGCGGGTGAAGATGTCATTGGTCACTGCGGCTATGGAGAAGCGTGTTCGGAGATGCTTGCAGAGAGCCAGCATAAGGGCGGTCTTTCCGGATCCTACGGGTCTGCTTGTGTCAGTGTTTCTCTATGTTATATGATGTCTTGTCATGGCTTCGCTGTCTACTTGAAATTGAGCCACGTTGGAATGAGTCGTACCCTCCAATTCCCACGGTAAACGACCGGTCCTCCCAATCTCGTCCCTCGATGATGGGCATTTCACGTCCCACATAGCTGCCCGGTCCGTCGAGGATCTCATGGGTATGCCCGTGGTCGGCGGCAGAGTGCGAATGCGACGCACCATCATGGGAGTGGCTGTGCGACATTTCCGGACGGGCTGAGGGTGATAAGAGGGATTAATAGAGGGGATGCTTGCCAGAGGAAATGAAGCTCGAGGTTCTCCATGGTGGGGCACATGGGAAGCTGGCGCGGGGTTGGTTCTCCAAGACCCCTGGCGCGGTAAGTACGGGAGGGTCCCTTATCATTGCCATTATTCCATTATTCCAGAACTAGCAGGACGCTACATGCTACATGATACGAGCAAAATGTCTTCTTTTTCCAATACATGGGACAAGGCCGCATATAAAGCCGATCTTAAGGGCAAGCCGCCCATCATCACCACAACAGAAGCAGTTGTTTTGCTCCAGACGGGAACCAGACGGGGACTGGCCGGACCGACGACGCCTCACAGCCGTGTGTCCCGTGTCCCCTTTTTCTTCCTTTCTATTTCCCTTTTCCTCCACCTCTCCCTTATTCTTGTGCATCCACAGCCAACCCCATCACGATCCGCCGACAAGATGCCTCTTGTGATATGCACATGCACGGATTTGTATGCCTGCATTCCATGGACCCGGTTATCGTGTCCATCCGGGCCCGTAGTTCGTCAGCTGTAACGCTAGAGGGTTCGCGTACGCCGCCATAAGTGGCTCTAAAAGCAAAGCACGTTCACCTCAGCGGAGACTTCGCCGGGCTGCGTCGTCGTCCAATACTGCCGAGGTGCGCCACAAATACGACAATCTTCATGCGCGCAATCTCCGCTTCTCTCAGCTTTCCTACTTCTGTTAGGGCTCCTGCAGGAACATGACACGGTGCTTAGCAGCTGCAACTATCTAAAGGCCAGCGCACCGCCCTCCCGCATGCACACGAGCCTTGATCCCGGTTGGCATCATTCGTCTGTGGCTGTTGTCCCAAACAAGATTGTTGTTGTTGCGACTCGTCCACTTCCGGTAGGGCCGCCCTAATTAAACATACCCATTCATCCTGTTTAGACGTTTCACCTGTCATCCTCGTCCTCCATTTAGTCGCTCTGCTCTCTCTATAACGAATTCTATATTCTTTTTTCGCTTCAACTACCCCATATTCTTCTTACATAATGTCTACAACAATCGCCATGTCGCCCGAAAAGTCGCAACACACGTCCCTCACCCTGTGGGACATTGACCGTGTGTTTCAAGATGCACACGAGGCATACGAGCAATGGCAGGCACGTCATCGCCGCTCTCGGTCCAAGTGGGTATGCTTTGGTACCAAGAATCGAGATGATGCCATGGGGAAAGCTCTCAGCCTTGGACGCCAGGTTCAGAGAATAATGGAAGCGGGCAAAGAAGCATTCGGTGTGCGGTTCGAGGAAGGAGACCGTAAGCCATGTCTTGCACCTTGTAAACACATGTGTTGACCACGGACAGAGAAATGCAACACGGTGCTATCTGCACAACTGCTCCGAGTCCAATACGAAATCAGACAGCCACTGTACGACAGTGCATTCTCAGCAACACCAATCACACCCATTGACGACATCATTACAACTGCAAAGAGCGTACGCCGCGCCTGCTTAACTGCATTACGCGACCAATATGCCCGCCTCGAAACACCCATTCTCTCGCCAGTACTTCCCCCACCTCGATTCAAGGTCGAATTCTGTCCATTTGCAGACCAGCTTCGCAAGGACCTCAAGGAAACCAAAACCAGCACTCTACGAGCAAAGAAAGCCTACCCACACGACAAGTATGACGACCGGGAAATATGTCCCCACTGCAGTGCGTGTATATCTGTTGCAGCACATTCCGGACTGCCGGCGTCCAGGTGCATTCTCTTCACATCACATATCGCACTGGACCCGGTTTCAAGAGACGACAAAGCAACATTTGCATGCAACAGCTGCTACAAAACATTTGACGATTCCTACGCCTTTCTCGATCACTTCTTCCAAAAGCAGATTGGCAGCGACCGAAGCTGTCTGCGGCTGTCCATCACCAAGTCAACATCGAGCTGGTTCCTGAATGAGGAAATCATTGAGGCGGATCCTTTACTTGTCGAGCAGTGTCTGAAGAACTGCATAGCGCGAGAGACTATGCGTGGCAAACAGCACAAAAGAGCGGGCAGCCGGATAACCATACGAGAAGTGCGTTGTTCGGATTAACATTTCTGAAATGCGAAAGCGAAACGAAAATACGATTTGGCATCTTGGGCGACAACAATTGTACAAATGCAACCACTGGGACCGATGAGCGCTGGCTATGTTGTGTTATGCCCCATGGAGTTAGCGACAAGCGATGTGTAGTTGGCGCTATCCCTATACTAAGCGTAGCTGAAGACGTGCTCCGCGGCGCATTCTCCGCAATCTCGAGCATGGTAGACGTCAAATCTCTTTTTTAAAAGAGATTGTGGTGGGTAACTTTACAGTTTCCTAATCATTTTTTCCTCCAAGGGATTCTACGGTTAGCCTCGTTGCTCCGGGACCCTTTTTTCAAATCTTTGTATTAAATTCATGTCTAATGCAGTAATGTCTTTTATGAACAACCACTTGAGCGAGTTAAAAGAAGAGCGACTCGAGACTTGGCATCTTATACATGTACATGTCAGCAAAACAGCAATATACCAATTACACATTGATACAAATGTCAATTTATATACATATATTTGTATGAAGAAAAATAAGAAAATTTATGCATCTATGCTATACATGCCTCCCTTGTCCTGTCTGTCTAGTCGTCTCAGCCTCTTCGCACACCGATGAAGCTAACGAAGCTGTCACAACTGTCACGTTTCACTTGCCGAACATCGTCATTTTAACAACGATTAACCCTCTCATCTCTGTTTTTTCTCTCTCTGTGTCATTCTCTCTGCACAGGCCCACATTTTGCGGTGGAACAGGGATGTACCCTGGCGTCAACGGCGTCATCGTACGTCGTCGCTAAATGGAGGGTGGTGCTTTGGGGGTCAACCTTCTTTGCTGTTATCTCACTCTCTTTCGCTCGAGTAAGTTGGTTACTGCGTGTGATTGCTGTGCTGTTTTTGCATTGCATAGCTAGCTAGCTATTTGACTTTTTTTCTTTTTTTTTTCTCGCTGTCGGTGCTACTTTCGGGCTTGGAAGGTAAATTTTGACTTCCGAGTTCCATTCTCTTTCTTCTTTATCGCTGGAAGAGGTGTTGTCGGCTTGTCCAAGTCGTAGATGTGAATATTTCTCTTGTGGTCTAGTCTGGAGGAGGCATGTGTATGCGAGATAGCCAAGTCGCGAATGACGTTTTTTTTTTCTTCGACAGTCTTGATCGATGCGGCTGTATTATGAGTAAAACCACGCAATCAAAGCCAAGATGAGGCTCTGGGCAAAGAAACCGTATTCAATGCTCGATTCACACTTGCAATCTCTCCATCGGTAAATCTGCCGAGCATCTCAGATTAATCTGTCAGCACCTATCCTTCTTCCAAGTCGGATTTCTCCGACTTGGGGGAAATGAAGATAAAGTTTACCACGTGTTATCATTTTAAGATCATCAGGCCACCGGATAAGTCGATCTTATGTGAGCTCTACATGCGAACTTTATTCTGGTGATGATGCAGATTCATACAAAACCCGGTTTGTGTAGGTATATGCATGCTTGACTCGGGGCTTTCTCGTATTCCTTCGGTGCCTAAGCGGTGAGATGGAGAAATGTAAAAGTAAGCTGGCAATATTAGCAAGGGAAGGCGAGGAGAGGAATGACATGGTGTGGGGTGTGGGGTAGGAGTACGTGTCTGTGTGTGCTTACGTACGCATGTAGTAGGTATGCACTGCATGTGTAAGTTTGAGAGAAGGTGTAGGAAAAAGTCACGTGCGACGCGTATACCAATTGTATGTAGGAAATAAAGAAAATATCTGCAGACGAGTTGTGAAACGTTTATACTTGGGATCCGCGACGTCTCTGTAATTTCCTTTTTCCTTTGTCGATGGTTTCACGACATATGGAGAAGCAAGAGGAAAAAAAGATAGGTGATGCAGAACCAAGCTATGCCTTCCTTTTCCCACCTCAGCCCTGCCTCATGCATCAACACCAACAGATATCTACATATATGATGTCAAAGACATGCGTTCAGAGTGCATAAACTACCTCGTATCTTTGTCTTCCGATCATCACCTCAATAGCCTCAACTATCCCCCAGCCTCCCCAATATAATGTTCCGATGGTGACTACTGCACCCCATCCGTCACTTTTCCCAGAAAAGACGGCAAACAAAAGCAAAAGCACCCCAAAAGCAATCAACCGAAAAAGAGCTCGCCCAAAACAGACAAAGCTAACTAGGACGAGGCTGTCCACCAAGCTACTATAGCACATTGTATTTCCCCATCGCGTACCAAAATACCCACACACATACCTTGGCTCTGATCTCTTTCCCTTCTTCCCTCCCCAAAAAGCAAATCCAACCACCAGAAAACAAGTTCGATCACCCAAACCAGGGTTATCTCCTCTACCCTTCTTTCTTCAACCTTCCTCTTATTGCTTTTCCCTCCGCCTAACCCACATCCACGTTTATGCCCCATACTTTTCCCGCTCACACACATACTTAGATGCATGCATGACGCCAAAGACCCTCCCCCCCTCTCTCTCTCTCTTCGGTTGTCCCTCTAAACTAGTTTGGGACAAAGGGCAAATATGCAACATGCAATATGCAACATGCGTGTAACTCCAAGGCTTTAGCCCCGATGGAAGTGAGTGAGTGGTTTTTTTTCTCTGCCTTTGTTTCTTGACTTTCACATGGAAGGTTGCATGGTATGGGAAGCGGGGGGAGGGTAGAGTTAGACCCAGGAATGGACAACTTTGTTTCGTGTCATTGTCAGCCAAGATATGGATTGAATGGGATGGGATGTAGAGTGACATTGCATAGTGCCGCGATAAGCAGTGTTTTTGCCCCTCCGTGAGATGGATGGGTGTGGTGGGTCTGGGATAGTATATCCGGGTAGCGGCTTTGCGCTTGAAGGACAAGAACGACGGGTTTTGCTGGGCGCCAAATGTGGAAGCTTTCCGGTGGACAGAAAGAGAGGGGAAGGTAGATCGAGGCGGTGTGAGGGTAGGCGAGATCAAAGGCAACTGTTTGTCACAACCAAGGGAGAATAGAAGAATTTTGTGTGTATGTATGTGTTCGAATATGTTCGTGATATTGTTGAAAGTTAAATAAAAACTAGTTGTGGGGGTATATCATATCGGCCAATCTTCTTTCCCACCTCGGTACTCTGCGAATCCAGAGTAGTAAGAGGCAAGGGTAAAAAGAGGCTCAAAGAGAACATGAAGACAAAAAACGCCGGTTGCTGTCCATTATCCGGAGATCAGCAAATATTCTTCCCACCCCATTCATATCCGTTCGTCCGTCTGGAAGAGAGAACCCTTTCCCATTTGGAAAATAAAACCCGAACCCAAGACTGTTGTTACGCCATGGTATATGCCGCTGGAACGCTCCATCCTGCCGTAGCTCGGAGAACGTGTAAACAAAAATAACAGAAAAATACACGAAAGAAACGAACTTTATCAATAATACATTTCATCCTCCTCTTTATTCTTCAAGCGTCGGTTTCTCTTAGTCCGCGAGAAAGCCATCGCTCCCACCAGTTTCGCACACCGACAATGCTCTCGCGGCCGTCATTGTGGCCGTCGTGACCGCCAGGGTCACCAAGGATGCAGGAGAAGAACCAGAAACCTGCGGCAGTCCAGGCTGCGATTGCGACGCCGAATGCGACAATGGGTGAAAAGAGGTGGATGACGACAAGCATGGGGGCGCTGTAGCCGGATGTCGAGTCATGCGAGTAGACCATGTGCAGTTGCAGGTTGAGCGACGGAGCGAGGAAGGATTTGATTTGCTCGGAGAGGGGCGCGCGCGTAGTGCAGAGGCGGAGCGGCGATAGTAGGAGGGTGATGAAGAGAGCGAAAAAGGTCCAGATGGCAATCACACCGGAGAGGAAGGCGCAAGGTCCGCAGAGCCAGAGCTAAGGGGTTGTGTTAGTCACGAGCGCGTCGAGTAGGTTGCGATATGGGATTTTTTTTCTTACCAGCAACTGCAACGCCTTCTCTTCGGGGCCTTTTTCTTGAAAGGCGCCCTTGTCGTAAACAATGGCATCGCCGCCGGACGGGACTGCAGACAGGCGGTTTGAGACGCGGTAGCCGTGAGCCAGAGCCTCGGCATGCTTTTCCGGGTCGATGTGGGCCCGGGGTGGATAGGAGAGTGATTGGCGCTCAATCTGCTCAGACGAGTAGCGATACGCGTTTGATGAGTTGCGGTGGTGGCCGACGGAGGAGATGCTGCTGTTGCTGCTGGGGCTTGGCGGCGACGAGGGCTTTGGCGAGAAGGGGTGGGAGATGACGGAGTCGTGAGGGCGGCGGTTGCTCGACCTGCTCAGACGGTCGGAGTGGACCGAGGAGTGTTGGTGGTAGTGGTGCGAATCCTTTTCATTGTATTGGTAGGTGTAGTCGTGGTCGCTGTTGGCGCTGGGGCTGGACAGGCGATGGTGGTATTGCGGCTGTGGTTGGTGGTGTTGGCTGGGGGGCGCGAGTATGGCCGAAGCAGGCGGCGGCGGAAGCTGGGATTCCATTGCCGGGCAGTCGGTCTGGTCAACGTCACGGGCGGACGGGCATCAAGCGACGCTGGAAGACATGCGAGGACAACGAGGCAGCGGGCATGTTATAGCGAGCAGCGGAGACGGGCCCCAGGAGAGGCAAGACTCTTGTTACATAGAATTACGCTCTCAAGGCCTTGGGAGAAGTCTTGGGCTTGGCATCCATCCCCAAGCCTGGGCAGTCTGCTCGGCAGCCCGTTCCAAACCGACCCACACCCAATCACACCCGCTCTACCCGGGCGCAGGCGGACGCAGCGCAACTCTGCTGCACACGCCGCTACAACAAGCCCGCCGACGGGATGCGCGGCAGTGACATGTCAAAGACCATGGCTCGGCCATGCTGAGCAACGCTGAGCAACGCTGAGCAACTCTTTTCTGGCATCATGTCTGGCTGCCGCCCTTGCTGGGCCTAATTCACCGTCTCCACGCACTACCGCCATCACCACCACCACCACTACTACTCGTCGTCGACACACGCACACACATACACACATACACACACACACACACACACACCGCACCGCCAAGCTGCCTCCAGAAGCGCTGCCACGGCCCCTCGATGGCCTCCGCTGCTGGCTGATGCTGCGCCCCAAGGTTTGTTGAATTCCCGCCTCGTTGGAAATATCCGTCTCGTGACCGTGTACCATGGATGCAGCCGCCCACGGTCTAATGTATTAGTATCTACTGTGGTAGCTACTTATTGTCTGTACATGGGTAGTACATACTATACATGCACCCGCCCACCCAGATACATACATCCATACATACCTCTACCCTACTAGACACACTTAACACCCACCTACATCCGACCTCTCACGTCGCACTCCCCTCTCGTCCAACCCTCTTCCCCACGGCGGAGCACCGGAGCGCCCTCAGCGGCATGGCTGTTGGTGGGAATGAAATGCTTCCAAGCTGCTTGTCTGGGCTGTCCGGCCGGGCTGGGCTGAGCCCTCAGGCCGGGCCCTACTAGGCGTCGATGAAACCACGTCTGTCTTGTTGATCTTGGGCTTGGCTGTTGGCACGCCAGGAGCGAGAGGAAAAAAAGCCCTCAGCACGCTTCACCTCCCCCCCCCTCCATACCCACTAAATGCCGCCAGCTGGCCCTGTCAACCCGTTCGGTCAATTAAATATTACCTTTTTTTTCTCGGCACCCTCTGCCTGGGCTTCTTGGTCGACGCACAATGCAAGAAAAAAACATGCCAGAGCCGTGGGCCCAAGCCCTTTGCCTATCTGCCCCGTGCTCCCATCCCCCCCGTCTCATACCTAGTACCGACCATTCCGACCCCCACCACCACCTAATGTCCCCCCTCTCTTGACTCCCAGGACGCGTATCCATTCGACGTCATTCTTTTGCGTACTCTCTCCACGGAGTAGTATACCCGTATACTTCTACGTATCTATTCACCCATACACATTTCCATGTATGCACCCTGACCGTACTATGGCCGTTTTGGCCAACACAAACTTTATTAGTGCGGGTACGGTACAAGCCCGTGTGTTAATCTCACCCTCGTCTCGGATCTCAGGTCAGCAGATCTCCAGGGTCAAGGCACTCTGTAAACATTACCGCCTTAATGGCTAAACAACAGACGTGGCTCGCCACTTTCAATTTTTCTTTCCTTACGCATCAAATGTGCATTTCTTAGATACTTGTTACTTTTGGTAATGCCCAGATCCGTCATCCTGCTTGGCATACTACTTCTCAAACACCTCGCCGACCGCCTACAAGCTTCATCCCCTCACGCATCGCATCCGTTAACCGGCTCATCACCAGCTCCTTGATGCCCTTCTTCTCCGGCTTAGGCATAAACCCTAGCTCAATCAGGTAGCTGACATACACCCCAACCGTATCTTCCGTCACCGCTCCTCCTTGACTCCAGTCTTCGCCTGTCCATGCCTGGTCCTTCTTCAATGCTTCCGCCGCGTTCTTATCATCTAGTTCTGGCGCCTTGGTGTCACCGGGTAGATCCCCAGTCACAAAGTGGTACAAGGGTAGTAGAGCATTCTCTTCCTTTGTCCCCGACCGGTCAGCAACATACCTCTCCATCCTCTGCTTCCACTCTGCATACGGCACCAGAGGCACGTTGTAGCCAAACTTCTCCAACGCACCCAGGAACTCGTTGAATGTGATACGCGGATGTGAAGTCACCTGCGCCACCCCAAGCGGTGCAACTGGCGGGTTAAACGACGACGCCACAACTACCCTCGCAACGTGTGTGACGGGTACCATGTTGATCGTGTTCGTGATGTCGGGCCTAGACTCGAGCTGAATGCAGCCCTTGAGCATTCGGACAAGAAAGTCATCCGTGTTTGTAGTACCGTAATCTGGATCTCCCAAGACATATCCAGGTCGAATCACACTTCCACTTAGACCCTTCTTGCCAGCTTGGCGCGTCAGGTATTCTGCTGCCCATTTGGACTGGCCATAGCCAGTACCAAGACCCTTGCGTGCACCCTCGAGGTCGTCAGCTTCGGGTACACCGGTTCCACCTTCGGCGAGACTCTTCTCCGAAAGCCTGACAAAGTAATCCGTATCCAGCACCGACGTCGAACTGACAAGACCAAACTTCTTGGCTTTGCCAGCAGCACACATGGACAACGCAGTCATGGTCGACAAGACATTGGGTCCTCGTAAGCGTGAGTAAGGCAACACCCAGTGCACCAAGGCACCATTGTGGATGACCACGTCGATCGAGTCAACAAGCTTGTTCCACGTGTTCGCCTCAAGTCCAAAGTTCTCCTTTTCCAAATCACCAACCAGAGGCTCCAGTCGCGACTCCCATCCGTCTTCCCAGATTCCATATGCTGTACACGTTTGCCTTACACGTCCCAGCGCACCATCAATGTCCTGGGCACGCACAAGTACAGTGACCTTTCCTGGTCTCGACAGAATATCCCGTAGGATGTAGGCACCCAAGAAACCCGTTGCGCCAGTGAGAAAAGTATGCACTTCTTCCTTTGGATTCAACTCCTCTCTGGTCTTGAACTCGGTCAGTTTGTTGGCAAGGTCTCTGGCGTCGGCAGAATACGCCTCATCATCAGGGTCGTCTTCCAATGCCTCTGCCGTGTCAAGACGCAATCCAATGGGGTCCATGGCTTGATCAATGTTTGCCGAGAAACCGCGCAGTGTAGGGTATTGGAAAATTGTCGTCATGGGCACGTCAATATCCTTCCATTCTTGACGAATCTTGAAGAAGAGTTGCTGTGCAATAATACTGTGTCCGCCAAGGTCGAAGAACGAGTCACTTCCGCCAATGCTGTCAGCTGTTACACCACGATCACCAAGAAGCTCAGCCCAGATCCTAGCCATGGCCTTTTCGGTAGGCGTCAGAGTTGCACCCAACTGCGATGGACGCCTGGCTCCTGCAGCTGCGAGATCTGCTGGATCCGGGAAAGGCAGTGCCGGCCGGTCAATCTTGCCATTTGGATTCAGTGGAAACCGGACAAGTGGAACAATGACCGATGGCACAGCGTATGCAGGCAATTTCTTTTTGAGATGCTCACGCACATCGTCTCGGAGATATTTGAAGCGTTTGAGCAGCGTCACCATGCTTGTGTCGCCAGTGGAATCGCTTTCTTTCGCTCCACGCTCCTCCAGCCAGTCATACCATCGCTTCATTTCAGGAACAATGTAGCCTGTCATATCAGTTATAATTCAGGAAAAGGACTTCAAGACTTTAACTTACTGACGAGCGTCGGCTCTTCGTAGGCATCACGCTTGAGCAGTGTAACATTTTCGCGCACCAACGGATGGGCAGAGAGATGCGAGTCAATTTCGCCAAGTTCAATGCGGAAGCCGCGAATCTTGACTTGTGAGTCCACTCGCCCTGTGCAGTGGACGTTTCCATCTTCAGAGTAGTGGCCCAGATCTCCTGACCTATATAGTCTGTCGCGGGGGCCTTTGTAAAACTCCCGCCATGGTTCGGGGGCGCCCTGACTCTCAACCTGTTTCTTGTCCTCGTCTATCCACTTTTGCTGATCCACGAACCAGTTGTCGATGAACTTGGTAGCTGTAAGATCTGGCAGTCCCAGATATTCTTCGGCAAGACCGCCGGCCCGCACGTAGATTTCACCGCTTTCACCGGGCTTGCAGATCTGGTTTCGATCTTCGCGGTTGACAACCAAGAGCTGCACGTTGTTCATTCCTCGACCAGCGGGTATAACCTCACCAATGGTATCAAGGAAGTCGGGCGCTTCTGAGCAACTTGGTAGCTCGTAGTAGCTGACGGCGCGTTGTGTTTCCGTGGTTCCGTACATGTTGACAATGCGCACATTTGGTGCCAGATTCTGCAATCTCCTGCAGTCTCGTTTGATCAACAAATCACCCACGAAGAAGGAGTGATGAAGGCTAGGGAACACAGCTGATGCACCTCCGACAAGAATCTGACCCATGGCGGGTGTGAGGTGGGTGACGGTGGCGCCATACTGGCGCATCCACTCGGCGAGTTTCTCATGCTGTATATCGTCCTTGCTTGGCACAAGTAATTGGGCACCGAGAAAAAGAGGTGTGAAGATGTCTCGCTGAATAGGGTCGTGGGCGATACCAGAAAGCATTGTGAACTTGTCATTTTCAGATAGTCCAAACGTTTCTGCCATCCAGGGAAAGTAGTGAGTGAGCGAAAAGTGTCTGCCTTTGACGCCCTTGGGCTTTCCTTCGGATCCCGACGTGAAGGAGAGAGTTGGTGTTGAGTCTGGGCCGACGAGTACACCAGGCAGTTCGGTCCTGAGCTGCTGCTGCTCGTCCAATATATCCTTTCCGTCCTTGGTGCCTCCAACCAGTGTGCCATCATCCTTGAGCTCGAGTGCAGGCACCTCTGTTCTTAGTTGCAGGTTGTCTTTGATGTAGTCTCGCACTTGATCTGAGAGAGGGCCTGCTTCGCGTGTGGCCTTGTCAATGATTACAAGAGCGCGCGGTTGAGAGACTTCGAGGTAGATGCATTGGCGGTCTGGAGGGTATCTTGAGATTGTCAGCCATGCATAGAAAGACTCGAGACGAGATACTTACAGTGGGTCTAGTACTGAGAAGGTCGCGCCTGCTGCTAGAACGGCCATGATGGCCACGACCAAGTCGACACCTCGGTGGGCGAAGATCATAACCACCTCGCCTCTTTGCACACCACTCTGGACGAGGTGATGGGCTAGTACTGAGGTGGCCTCAAAGATGTGCTTGTATGTGAATTTGCGTTCAGGCGTCTTGCCCGTGGCAGTCTCGACGACACATGGCCGGTCGGGGTGCTTGCGAGCATTGCTGGCAAAGATTTCGTGAATTGGGCCCTTGAAGTCAGACCAGTGAAGGTCTGCCGTGGGGTCTGGGATGCTCCCTTTTGTGAGTGAGGCCATTGTCACGACTAAAAGAAATATCTAGTGGGGTGAGCGCGGCGTATGCGCACGCGGGGAATAACAATTTTAAAGAGACGCAATTGAAGAAAAAGGCCTGTCGGATGTGTCGGAATTCAAGCCTCGCTGTCTGCTGAGTCGAGGCGATTGGCAGTGAGGGGGGAATGAAGAAGAATGTGTAAAAGTAAATGTGTGTAGGGGTTCAAAAGTACTCGAAGTATGACGCATCCAGTCAAAATGCTCGAGGCGCAGGCGACATCGGCGCCCCCCACTAGACTACACCAATGCCAGTATGCACCACTTACAAGGACCTAGTTTAGTGCAGGGCGGGACTCGGTGGCGGCGGGGTGAATGCCAAGCCCACCAGCCCTACGTACGCTAGCCGGGCACCTCCTCGACTGCCTGGTCAGCACAACGCGTCACCCTCATTTGGGCCAACATCAGCCAACCAAACATCCATCCTGTTCAGGCCCACTGCGGATATCGGCTTGTAGGCTGCCTGGGGCAATCTCATGTCGCCAATGTCACGGTAGTCCTCTCTTCTTCTCCTACTCCCTTCCTCCCCGCCATATCTCAATTGCGACATGCCCGTCCAATATACCTGCATGGGGAGGCCCGTGACGCTCCATATGCCCCCAAGGAGATTCCAGGCCGTCTTCATCATCCTCATCTTTCTCGTTTTCAACCTAGTCTTCTACGGGCCACCATCGCGCAAAAGCATACCTACCTACGACCAAGTAGCTGACGCCGTCAAACACCCGCAAGCACACGTTCCTGACCTTGGCCAACTCCCATCTGTGCCCAATCCCTTCGGCCCTTCACCTCACAAGCCGCCCGTTCAGGCCAACAGCACTGCTGCTAGTGCATACGGAGCTATAGAATGGCTGAGTGATTTCAAGTGGCGCAACCCTTTCTCGTCTTCTGTGACTCTCGACGAGAACAGAGCCCTGCTGCCTCCTCTCCGCGACCGCCCGCCCATTTACACCTACTATGATGTGCCCAAGAAGCAAGACAAGGACGTATCGGCTGCTGAACAAAGGCTTCTTTTGGCATGGCGAAGGGCGTGGTGGGCACAGGGTTTCAAGCCCGTAGTGCTATCGCGCGATGAAGCTAAGCGCAACCCGCTCTACCAAATCTTCCAGCGCCTTAAGTTAGATCCAAAAATTGAATTCGAGGTCATGCGATGGTTGGCATGGGGTCATATGAAAGGCGGTGTTCTCGTCAATTGGCTTGCTCTGCCCATGGCCGAGTACGAAAACCCTATGCTGAACTTTTTGCGACGCAACGAGTATCCCAAGCTGTCGCGTGTCCAGTCTCTCGACAATGCCATCTTTTTCGGCGAGCAAATAGCTGTCAACAATGCTATCAAGAAGCTTGCCGATAACCAGCTGTTGAAGAATGTTACGGCCAACAAGGACAAGTTGACTAAGCTGGCCAATAAAGAGGGTGGGCCAGTCGTGAATCTTCTGGCTTCGGCAGATGTGGCAGTGGATGTCAAGGCTGACGGTATTGCGTCTTACAGTACCGCTACTATTTCTAGCAAGTACAAGACCATTGCAGACAAGCTCACCAACACGACCAAAGCGGAAGCGCTTACTCTGCTTGAAAGTCTCATCAACTCGCATCTCCATATGACATGGCAAGAGCAACACCCGGAAGGTGTAACGGTCGTGAAGCCAGTGCCGGAACATACGACTGCGCTCATGTTTGAAGCCACTAATATTGCACGCAATCTCACACAATGCCCAGCCTCTCCAATGCCCAAGACGTGCCCGCCCAATCGGCCAAAATGCAAGCCATGTGACGCCAATAAGGCAATGAAACTCCAAATTTTTCCAGAATTTGTCAACACGACCAAGTTCTTCACAATCGGTACTGTGCCGCATCCATACACGCTTACTTCGTTGCATTACACACGGGACACAGTCGATAGTAACTTCCTGCGTAATAATGCCGAGCGCGATCTCTGGATCCGGAAGTTGACCGACAAGTCTATCCCAGGAGACCACACTGAGGAGGTTCGCGTACTAAGGTTCAAAGAGCTTGTGGCAGCCATCCCTGCTCATTCACTGTGGTTGACGGCTGAACGCATCACTCAAGATGATCTCGACTGGGTCTTTGGTTTTGGCCTGCCCCAGATTGCATCTACTACTGCTGAACCTAGCTCGCCGAGCAAGGAGTCCGAACTCATCATCTTTCCTCGTCCAGGGCCTCCCAAGCCCATCCAAAGTATTGATATACCTGATGACAAGTGGGTTGAAAAGGAACAAGAACGCCTCAACAAAGCTCGTGATGCCATCAAAAGCAAGGATAGGAACATGAAGAAGATTGTGGAAGCAGTAGAGCAATGGAACTTGGCGGATACAGAGGCCTGGAGGTTTTCCAGGGCTTATTCTGCCAGAAGACGACAGGAGAGAAAGAAATGGGAGGAAGAGGAGGCCAAATACTCGGGTAGTGAGAAGAAGGCTGGTGTCAGGCCTGGATCAGGGGGAGGAAGATGGATTGACAAGAAATGAATGGTCAACGACTATTAACTACATGGTGTTCAGGCGTTGTGGGTAGCTGTAAATAGATAGCTTGTCTATTGTACATAACATCATATAGTAGACATGTAGCAAGAGAACGATCTTCTTAACTGGTAGCTGTGACCAGTATTTGACAGCCTTGCTTTTCAGTCAAGAGTCAGTGCGCGTGTGTTCATTGCTACTTTCGCTACGCTAAGTTTGCTCAAGAGCTGGAAATATCCATACAATCAATGCAGAAGATCGGCCTGCACAAAGCAAACCAATACAGTGGTGATGATGCTAGGTAAAAGTGCGGATACCTGACCAACTTCAAAAGGGAAACTACAACTACGGCTGGAATTCACTCACTGAGTATTAGAAATGATAAAAGCATTTTCAGTTCGGGGGCATGCTACTCAAGTGGTAACCTAAAGGATCTGATTGGTGCTGGCGAAACTGGTTCATATTTCCATCCACCATACTGAGACCCTCACGATGACTGTCTACTTAGCAAACTCCATGCTCGCAATAGGCCATTTGTCTGAATTCTGATTAGCCATCAGGCTTCCCATGAAAACACTAGTCAAATGCAACACTCAAGAGGATCCGTTGTTTTCATCTGATACACTCCAAGTCTCTGAACCATGGGTGTAGAGAAGCGTGTCTCGCACCACACACAACGCAATTGGTATGTGTCGTTTATTCTTGATCCGAACCCTCAGATCTATGTGGACTGAATATGGTTTGCTCTTGGAACAAGAGCAATAAAGGCCAGGTCACATTGTGGAATCAAGTTCTGTCTCCTATTTCACATTATACAAAATCTCAGCGTACTTACAAGTTGATCTTGCACTTCTCTGTACTCTGGCAATCACTTTCACCAAGCCGATTCAATACTAGCTCTTCAAGCCCACATATCGAGCGCACCTTCTCCATGGATTACATAACTCCTTTCGTTAACATTGCATTTGCGTTCGCAAGCGTTCTTGCCACTAGACAGCTTCTACAACGCTATAACTCTATTAGCGATGCAACTCCAACCACGACCGACAGTCTTCGTCTCTCTGAAGACGAACCACCTCAAATCGCGGAGAACGTCAAAACCTGTATGATCTGCAGGTCTGACGAAAGCAAAGATGATCCCTTCATCAAAGCACCTTGTGGCGAGCACTTTGCCTGCGCAGACGACATAGCCAACTTCTTTGAATATGCGACCAACGATGAGAGTCTTTACCCTCCAAAATGTTGCGGTCGGATTTTCTTGCTGGAAGAATACAAAGACCACATTCCTGCTGATATAGCATCAGCGTATCACAGCAAGCAACAAGGCGAGTACTCAATTTTGGCAAAGTACGTTTACAAACTATCTCCCTAAGATACCTTACAAGCAACCTCTTATAAAAAAGCAACAGAAATCGACTCTACTGCGCAAACTCGCCTTGCGCCCGGTTCCTCCACCCATCGTCCAACGTCCAAGACGCACTCTCTAGCACGACCTACGCCATCTGCAAGGCAGAAGAATGCGGCGGCTGGACATGCGTACACTGCAAGACACTGCTAGACAAGACCAACCTAGCACATACATGCAGATCAACCGACGTAGACGAAAATTTCAGGCAAATGGTCCTCGAAAATGGATACCAATGCTGCTTCGCCTGCGGCGCAATCATCGAATTGGCCGCAGCATGCAATCACATTAAGTATTACGTCCTTTTTCTCCCCATCCGTTTCCTCTCTCTCTCTCTCCCCGGTCACCCTTATCACAGCAAAGAAAAAAACCACCCCACAAAATTCCTCTTGACTAATGCAATATATATAATAGATGCAGATGCGGCACCTCCTTCTGCTACATCTGCGGCAAACCCTGGGCCGGTTTCCGTCACGGCTGCCCCAGATACGGCCCGGCCATCTACGACGCCCAAGGCTACAACCAAAACGGATTCCACCGCGACACGGGACTCAATCGCGCCGGTCGCACCGCTACCCAGCAGTACGGCTATCTCGAGCGATTGCTGTACGCGCAAGATCAAATCATCGCCCGAGATCAAGACGGTGCGCACCGGTTTCCGTGGCCGCCTCTCGGGCGGTTGTTTAGGGTTTCGATGGCGCTGAGTGCGTTGCTTGTTCCCGGGATGGGGTGGCAGGATAGGATTGGGGTTGTGTTGGGTATGATTGTGATTCCGAGTATGTGGGAGTTCGCGCCGACACCGCCGGTGTGGGATCAGATTGATTATTATGATGATCTGGATGATGATCTTGGGTTTTGAGATTGTTTGGCTTGGATATATGTAGGCGGTATTTCTTTTTTTCTTGTAAGCAGCTCTGTTAGTTTTTTGTTTTATACCAATAGTATCCGTGCTATTTTCTTTTGATCAGATTTGTTCATTCTGGATATAGACCTAAAGGGTTCATCGAAAAAGCATTGGATGAAGTAAGGAAGAAAAGGCCAGATGTAAAGACTAGGGAAGAAAAGATTAACCATGGCTGGAATAGTGAAGAGACCTTGAGGAATGATAAAGTTTGGAAGAAGCAGCCCGAAAATTGACGGACGGGACAAGCGGCGAATTGAGGTCTATGAGTGGGAGCCTAAAGCTACTGAGGTTGATGCACTGGAGCGCCATCACCGAAATCAAAAGAACCGCGAACAGATGGGTCAAGAGGGTAAGCAAAGATGGGGAGTTGTTGGTCGGAAGAGTAGTCAGGGTACGCCAGTTCCTGTAATACGTGTCCGATCTGCATCAGCTGTTGCAAGTTCTGAACGAACAATTCCTCCTGGTTATGGAACAAAGCCATTGTCAAAACATTCAGGACTTCAGAAGTCTCAGGTTAGGGGCAATAAGGAGATGTCTCAATCTGGAACTACATCGCGCGATCATCAACGTAGTCAAGAAGCTCCGATTCCGGGAGATCACGATTACGAAGACAATTATCATGAATACAGACCGATTTACCCTCAGTCAATTACTTTTGATGGACCTCAACGCCATGGCATACCTTCCTCTCCAGTGGGCAATCAATCGTCAATAGAGCCGGAAACCGCCTCCAGAGCCTCGTCTCCCATCATGTCACATGGACCTCCGCCGCCACCTCCGCCACCCGTATTGAGAGGGGCCAGCAATGGAAGAGCAGCTCTACTCGACTCAATCCAAGGCGGAACCGAGCAGCTCAGAGTAGCTTTCCCAAACAAAAAAGACAAGTCGACAAGCTCCAGTACAGGAAGAGTTTTATACGACCAAACAGAGCACAGCCGGGAGGTCGAAGAGCGAGAACTTGCTCAAGCTGAAGGATCAAATGACGGACGAGACGCTCAGCCAGAACCGAACAGAGCGTTCCGTCAAGACCTCTTGGATGCACTCCAGAGACGGAGTACTACAGGACCAGGTACTATTGCCCATGGCTTGACGGCAAGGAGAGAATGATCTGATTAACAGCAACCCAACAGCAGGCTCTGGTGTATCGGTAATTACAGGTGTATGCCACAAACAACAGGAAGAAGGTACATCCCTGCATGGATAGTTGAGATGTGTGGGCTCACTGTGGTGGCAGACGAGGCAGTGCAGCTTTCCAAACCAGAAAATGGAGAGGAACTATTTTCTACACTGGCAGCACATGTTGCACGGCCTGGCTGGAGCTTTGACGGAATAGGAACAGCAGATTGACGGGCCAGAAAGAGATTCGGCAGGATTGGGGTGGGGCGGGTATGTCGGTGGTGAGGGTGAAAGGGGGCATAAACAGGTGGACTATGCGCAGGCGGGTCCATGCTCCATGATTTCGCGCGGCTAAGCTCTGGACCGCGCGAAGTTACGCCGGGTCGTGTATCCGCCCTTCATCCCTATTCCTCTGCTTGTAAGCTTTCAGTACAGGTGTTAGCATCACTAGACTTTTGACCTTTTTTTTCTGCCGCTCTTTAGCTTTTGGTGTCAACATCGTTCTGTGACGCGCAATCGCATCTCCCCCACATTGATCATTGACCGTTGCCGGACCCTGTGCCATCAGACCAACCGCAAGCCAGCCCGCGCCCGCCCGCCCCAAACGGCTTACCCAGTCTAACCACCACACATTCGCTCTATCTCTCTTTTCCTCTACCTGTCCTCCCCGCATACACAAGGCACAATGCGCGTCTCATCAGGCATCCTTCTCGCCCTCCCGGCGCTTGCTGTCGCCGAGGAGCAGCAGATCCCTATCCTCGACAAGGTCAAGGGCTTCTTCAACAAGGCGTCTGCTGCCGTGTCCTCTACTATCTCGGCCTCAATGCCATCGGCGCCAGTCGAGGCAGCAGCCAGCGAGGCAGCGGCCAAGGTGGTCGAGGTGATCCAGCACCCGTTGACTCTGGAGAACTGGAAAGACGTCTTGACAGTCGACCCGACCGCCAGCCCGCCCACCACCCAGGACTGGCTTGTCTTCACCACAGGTGGCAACAACACATGCTTCGGCCTTTGCGGAAACGCCACCAAGGCCTGGAATGTACGTACACTACAATATGCTGCTTCTAGAAATGCGACACTAATAAACCTTCCAGGCCTCTACCCCCTTCATCGCCGCCATGCCCAACGCGCCCAAGCTCGCGTACCTGGATTGCGAAACCGAGGGCGTTCTGTGCAACTCGTGGTCCATTCATGCGCCATCGCTGTACTACTTCCAGATCCCCAAGCCGCTCCCCGACCAGTCGGCGCCTGTCCCTGTCGCTCGCTACCAGGCATTGAACCGCACTACCACCACCGCGGAGACGATCAAGAAGCTCATTGTCGACAACGAGATCGCTGAGATTGAGCCTTACTGGGGTCACTTCCACCCCTTCAATGGCACCATGCAGCAGTACAACCTCGCTGTTCCCTACGGCTACTTCACCTATGGTTTCTCCAAGATGCCTTCATGGTTGCCCATGATCATCATCTCGTTTGTCAGCAGGTCTTTCATGTAAGTCATTGCCTAGTACAGTCGCAGCGCGCATAACGCTAACACTCTTGTAGGGGCAATCGCATGGCCGGACCCACCCCCGCCCAACGAGCACCACGGTAAACGGATAACCCCCCATGTCCCTGTTGGCTTTTGCCCTCGACAAAGGGCGATCCTAAGCCTTGTTTGCAACCCCACCCAATACCCCTTGGGGTCGATACGATATCCATATACCTATCTTGTAATTGGATCTCCTCCTAGAACGAATGACATGTGTCTCTGAAAGGACATGTTGAGAATGTTGGTGTTATAAAAAGAGGTGTATAGGAGACACTGCAGCGGTGTTGAAGAAAGAATATGCAGTAATAAAGCAAAATTTCATGTGTGATTCACTACTACCATATCACAAACTGTGTTCCGAGACGTGTGCTGGTTTGCGACTATATTTCACACATTGCCGTTGACTGATATTAAAAAGTAGAACATTAGTACTTCCAATCTCTCTCTAACCATCACATTCTCTTCAAGAAATCTTAGATGAAGAAGAAAAAGGTAAATTGCCATGCATTTCGTGACGCGATGCTCGAGGTAAAAGAAGCGCAACACGATGTACCATCGCAGTTATGAACAAGGGGAATCAACAAGCCTATTTACAACACGCTCACATGCATCAGATATAACCCAAAAGAAAAAAGGAAAAAAGAACAAATCCGTCTTCCGCCTTTCAGTCCACATGTCGTCAAGTCCGCTGTACACTGCTCACAATTGTAGGTCCATCATCCTTCTTCCTCACCCACTTGTCCTCTTCGGCCTTCCGCTTGGAGTTCCGATCATTGCCTTGACCACGACCTCCTCTTCCGCGCCACGGTGCGCCACCACCACCTCCACCATTTCCGCCGTTACCACCACCGCCGCCGCCACCGCCAGCCCCTCCACGTTTCGGCCTTCCATCCTGTCCGCCACGGCCACGGCCAACCTGGAATTGTATGCGCGTAAGCGGGTGCTCGACCCAATCGACGCCCTTAAGCCCCAGATTGTTCTTTTCCCAATCACTCAATTTCCACGCCTGGTACAGCCCCATTAAGCGCTGCTGATCGATTTCCTCTTTGCCGGGTCCAAGCGAGCGCGTGAGCTTGAGGCCGCGCAGTTCAGGGACCCAGGCTTTAATGTACTCGCCGTGCTTATCGTAGTCGAGGGCTTGCTTGACGGGGTTGAAGATGCGGCCCTGGCGGGGATCATTACCCACGCCTGCTACGTATTGCCAGTTTCCCCAGTTGCTAGCTGGGTCGTAGTCGACGAGGAAGCATTCGTACCATTCTGCGCCTACGCGCCAGTCAATGTTCAGATGGGATGAGAGGAAGGAAGCGACGTTTTGGCGGGCGCGGTTCGATGTGTAGCCTGTGACAAAGAGCTCGCGGTTCGAGGCGTCGATGAGGCCGACGCCTGTTCGTCCGGAGCGGAATCGCTCAAAAACTTCAGCTGTCTTTGCTGGATCATCGCCTGGGCCCTTTGACCATTTCAGGTTTTTCCATTTGTTGTCGCATTCTTTTTGGTCGATAGTCTGGATGCCGTAGAGGCTGAACATTTTGTACCCAAACTTTCGCATGCAAAGACGCATATAGTCTCGCCATAATAATTCAAACCGAACTGCTGCGGTGCCTTCGTTTTCGCCTTTGCCGTAGCCTGGTACTTTTTCTCCTGGTCCTCGTCCCTCTTCAAAGTCAAACATAGCCCAGTGAACTTGACGAGCCGTGATATGGCCTTGTGCAAGGTAAGCCGAGATTTTAGTGCTGAAGTCGAGACCAAGCATGCCATTGCGTGTAGCTTTGTAGGAACTCATTGCTCCTGTTCTGACTAAATGTTCTATCCGGTCCAGGCCGTTTGTTTCGCCGCCGGAAAAGGGATGTGCTGATTGAGCGTCGGTCGGCCATACTGGTGGCACTTTCAGAGTGTACGTTGGGTCTTTTAGTAATGGGGTAAGTAGAGCATCTTTTAGTCCTTCCAAAGTCGAGGGTATAGTAAACGGCGATTTTTGCGGCGGTATCCTGGACGGTAGCGGGGGAAGTTGTGCGGGGGTGGGTACGGTGTTTCGGGGTCGGTCGCGTAGCGGTTCTAGGCCCTTTCGATATGTGGTGTAGACATTGGGCAGTTTGGAGATGTCTTCGTAATATGGTAGATCCCGGCTATTTTCAGGTTAGAAAAAGGATTACTCCGACTTGACGTCATTCTAAAGATTTGGTTTGCTTACTCGTCCACATAGTACTTCTCGTCGACCCAAACCTTGAAATCTACACCACGCTGTTCTGTGATCTTTTTCAAACCGGCCACGTCATTCTTCTCTTCAGTAGCATCATCGTCTGTAATCCAAACCCCGCTAATTACACCCTCATTTTCGTCCTTGTCGTACCAATCCATTATGTCGGAGACCACCTCGGGAATTTTTCCGACACGCATTTCTAGGCCTGAGCCACAATTTAACCCCGCAAGCTTATCTTTGAGATTCCACACGCCATCGGCGATGAATTTTGCGCGGTGAGGGCCTGTCCGCCACACACCCGCCTCCCTACTGCGTGCCTCAGGGTATGGACATTTATCGGACGGCGACGAGAGAAAGCCTGAGACTTCGATCTGGTTGGCGGGGAATACGAAAACGGGTAAAAGGTGGGTGAAATTTGTGCGGCCGTGTTCCGAAGTCAGCGAATCATCGCGATGCCGCCGATCGGAGCTTGAAGAAGATTTTGAACTCGGTCGGCTGGTCTGGAGGGATGCAGCGTGAAACACGGGGTTATCTGAGAGGCGTACATCGCGGCGCAGTATGTACAAGAGGATGCGAGGGACTCTGGGAGTCATAATCGGGGCTTCTTCGCTGTAGGCACTGAATGTGCGTGTCGAGCAGAATGAACAGAGGAATAGATCGCAGGTGTTGCACGGCGGCCAGGAACAGCTACGTCGTAACATCAAGGGTTACGATGCATGCAGAGTCCAGGAGTAGCAGGAGTTTAGCAAAAACATTCCAAAGCCAGTAGGCAGAAGAAAAAAGATGGATAGAGTTGTGTAGCTTCAGAGCCAGCGGGACGTCATGATCCTATGATGGTGACAATGGAGCTTCACATCGAAATTTCGGGGGCACGAGGTGACTGGAGCACTAGAGGGAGCCCTAAATGTCATCTGTCAACCATGTTAGGGATAGGACCCCACTGCAAGGGGTGCAGATGGTCGAAACTGAGGAGATCCGGTTCGAGATTGGTGATGCTTGCTGCAGCATCGCTGGCCGGGGTTATGACGTGAGGGCCGAGCTAGCGCGCCGCCACACTCCGCCAGGCCTTGGGCACGCCTGCTGCAGGGACGCATATCGAGCGACTTGGGACGGGCCGAGCGTTCGTGGGCACCCGTGGATGGCAGCGATGGGCGTGCTACAATGAAGCAGCAGAGCGATCGCGAGACATTGTTGTGGCTACGCCATGCCCCCTCCAGTAAGGCGGCATGAAAAGCTGATAGATGACTCGGTGCCCGGATGCACCGCAGCAGGGGCCGCCAATCGTCCTGCATCTTCCCTCCTTTGATCTGATCTCGATATACGTCGATTCAGAGCGGCAATCGTGTGCAAGGTACCACCGCCTACACGTGGAACTAGCCACATGCGATGCTCGACATGACATCTGCCTCTCTTCCAAGCTTGCCACGCATCGCCCTTCATTTCAGTCTTTCCCCCCTCGCCATAGTTAATGCCTGTATAATGCCGTCGTTCCGTTCTGCCATGCTTGACGTGGTGCACAACGCTGTCTACTTGTAAGCAAGGTAACAAGGGGGTGGTGGCCACAATCAGCACGCTGCCCGTATCTGTACTGCCCTTCTGTGAGCCGTTACACTCGTTGGGGCCAGCCCAGCTACCGAGATAACAGTCTTTGTATGCATGCGAGCCGTCCAAGGGACTATAGCACTACGACTAGCACACGTTGGAAGACTTCTGGAAAGAGCACGTGGGGCTCAGCGATACTGCTAGTCACACGACCTACCAGAGAGAGAGAGAAAGAGACGCCAGCATGTCTGATTGCTTAGTGGCCAAGTCCTTGCTCCTACGGGTGAGTATCGGAACTCAAATCGAAGACATCATTTCACAAAGTTTGCACTACTTTGTTTTGTTTTTTCACAACGTACATACCTTGATATCCGCCCCTAGTCCACCTTGTGAGATAAGGTGTATCTGCATGTATACCGAAAAAAAAACTTCGTATGGACTGTTCATCAACGTCAGTCCGCATGTAACCGTATCACTTGCAGACTCGGCATGGGATGAGCTAAGAAGAAAAAAGGTTCAGCTTTTTACAAATGTGACTTGGTTTCCCCGCACCGCTTTGGGCATCAATAATGAGCATGTGCTATAGCACTAGAGGAACAAAGTTCAGGAAGCTGTATAAATATTCTGGAAAATGGACGGCGGTGAAGCCCTTGATACTTCTGAATTCGGATTCAAATTATTTTGATCTACGTTGCCTATCCCCTCCCAAAGAAGAAGAACCCCTCAGTGACCTTCATATGTAACACAGCAATTGTTGTCAACCCAATGGGCTTGCAGCCGTGTCGTAGATCATGACACCATATCCCACTAATGCGCGGGATGCACAACATCTTGGAAACCCTGCTCGTGCTCGCCACTAACACACCGTTCGGTAGACGCCATGTTTTGTCGGCCGCTGAGCCTTGTGCTTGTGCTCCTTCCTCAGGCCTTTGCTAGCATGCTGCTTCTCGACGCTAGGATTGGCGCCTGGTTGGAACGCCGCAAGGTCGATGGCATCCGTCTTCATAAGCATTTCCGTCACGCCGCAGATGTCAGTCACAAGCCTGTCGATCATGTCGATCGAGAGAGACTCTCTGACTACTACTCTTAGAATCTCAGTCTTCTCCTCTTTGGGAGGTAGCGGGTAGTCTGTCATTCATAGATAAGCACAATTCTCTGCAACACACAGTCAAAGGCGTTGGCGTCCTTACTGGGAATAATGTATTGCTTGGCACGGAGCAGATTGCTAACGGCTTCTTGCTTGACATGCGGGAATTCTTTGTGGAAGTCATCGGTGAGGGTAAAGGCTACGACGGGTAGACCGGGGTTGTAAGCTTCGCTCGTAGCGCCTTCTTCGTACTGCTCCTTGCCCCTTTCGTACTTGAAGTCACCCTTTTTGCGGTGAATGTCGCTGACACACCTATACCAGCCCTGCGGTATGACATCAGCGGTTGTCTCAAGTTTTTTTATAAGGGGAGTATTCTTACCGTGTGTTCCAGCGCCCTGCTCAATAGACGGGCATTGGCCAAGGTGTTCTCCATAATGTTGCGGTATCCCGAGAAACCCAGATGAATCAGGTTGTAGTATTGTGCAATAATCTGCGCGCCCGGTCGTGAGAAGTTCAATGTGTACGACTCCTCAGTTCCGCCCAGGTAGTGGAGTTCAAAGATTAAATGCTTTGGTAGGTAGCTCTCATCTCGCCATATGATCCATCCAACACCGGCATACACAAGTCCAAATTTATGTCCACTGGTGTTGATCGACTTCACCCGCGGCAACTCGAAATTCCATTTCCTGCCTGCCTTTGCATGGGTAAAGGGGGCAATGAAGCCACCTGATGCCGCATCGACGTGAATTGGAATGTCGACTCCAGTCTTCTTCTCGAATTCGTCCAAGATTTCCGAAATCTCTTCAACAGGCTCATAATGTCCGGTGTAGGTGGAGCCGAGGATGACAAAAACTCCGATAGTGTTCTCGTCGATATTCTCCTTGACTAGCTTGGGATCTAGGCGGTAGGATGAATCCTCGCTTACGGGAAGAATACGGGCCTCGACTTCAAAGTACCTGGCAAACTTCTCCAATGCTACCTGGGCATTGGCACCCATGATGATGTTCGGTTTGGAAGTGTCCTTGCCCTCTGCCATTCTCTTTTCCTGCCAGCGACGCTTCATAGCGAGCCCACCAAGGTGAATGGCCTCACTAGAGCCAGTGGTGGCGGATCCAATGGCCTTTTCGCCCTTTTGCACACCCCACATGTGGGCAATGATGGACACGCAACGGGCATGCATGTCCATCATGGCGGGGTACTCATCAGCATCCGACAGATTCTTTGATATGTTTTCAATCATGAGCTGCTCGCCCTCCCTCTCCATGTAGGTGCCGACGAATGAAGCAAGGTTAAGGCTAGGTCGTCCATCTAGGTCAAGCTCATCTTTGAGTAACTGGTGAACAACATCTGCAGGGGCACCATCTTGTGGAATTTTGAACTTGGACAGCTCGGTACCAGCAGCATATCGACTGGAGTAAGGGGTGATGTGCGAAGTTGCTCGGTTTTCGGAATGACGTCCACCAGCCTTGTGCATAGGATGGTCTTTGAGCGTTGTCAAGAGCTCTTCCGTGTCAACGTGTCTTGCTAGTCCGGCCATTGTGAGAGGGTTTAAAGTTGGAAGTAGAGCCGTAGTGCTTCAGGTTGGTTGCAATGCCTGTATCCGTGCGACATAGGCATGGTAATTATATAAAAACTACAGGCAGTAGTAGTACATGCAATTGTAGTGTGTAGACATGACGACACGTTGTATCCGCTCTTGCCCGCATAGTCACGCCAATAACATTAGGGAATGGACAGCCCGTTGGAGTTTGAAAGCTTGACAAAAGCTTGTTTTGGCATTCCACGGAGGGTGACAAATGACCTCACAGCCAATCACATCCTTAGTTCCGAGGCCCACTGTGGGTAGATTTTGTTAGTAACGTCGGCCAAAACTGTGGTCAGCGTTATTTTGGGCATATGGGCAAGCCTAGAGCTGTAGATTTGAGTGCCCTTGCCTCGTAAAAATTGATGCACAGTGACGAAGGCGTCTGAGTAAAGGGAGTAAAAACAACGTCACCACTAGATTTACATCTGTGTTTGTGTATGGAGAAAGCATCCACAAAGCTTGGCAGTCGTTGCTGCTTGCGTACGTCTAAAGTAGTGTACGGTTGGCAGATGGGTGACATTTGACAGGAGCGTGAGCCATTGATTGAAGAACTGGTCGTCCTCGTTGTTTGTGGGTGGCATGAGCTTGTAAGTACGTACGTATATGTACGTAGTATGCGTGCGTGGCTCTAATTCAATAGTTTTCGTGTGGAGATGATGGCAGGCTTTTGTGCGGGGAACCAATCGGATGGCGAGCTGCGTATGTGCATGCATCGAGTACGTATCTGAGTGGGGTGCCAGGCGATGCTGCAGCCAAGGGCGCGCTTTCACGTGATCTTTCCTATCGTCCATTCCTTCACTCTGAGGTCCAATGCAGCGTGGCTCACAACGAAAGTGTTCTTGAACTCTCAACAACGATAAATGTGTAGGTTAGCAGCCGCTACAGCTTCAACTGAGCCTCAATGTATCGAGTGGTGGGCGTGGGAGATGTTGGAGATTGATGATTGGTGACGTCACGTCAGCGCCTGGGCATATTATCTCATCCGCCGAGAACCGCGGGGAAGCATCGACTGACGCGTCCTTTGTTGCGGCCTGGGACGACTGCGTACACTACATTTGACTTTCCTCACCGCGTGTCAGCCGGGAACTTTGTTTTTTTGTTAACATCTTATCTTCAACTCAAGCATTCCCCATCATTTGCTGCTCTTCCTTTGCCTTAACGTTCAACTCTAGACTGCTTGCTTTCGTCCGACTCGTGGGGTTGCCACGCACCAACCAGTCGGCCGAATATCTCAGCGCCATTGCTACGCAGTGGTGGTGTAATCGACTTGTCGTGCTCTTTAGCTCCATCAGGGCACTACTTGTAACCCTCCATCTGTCTGTCCCTCCTGCCTGTCTTCTGAATTACCCTTCAATTACCAGGCCAACATGCGCTTCTCACGAGTTGTGCCACTTCTGCCCTTGGCGACCGCTTTGGTCATTACCGAACCCGAAGTCTTCTCCAAGATTGAAAAGTCAGGACGGCGGCTCGTTGACAATGCTCAAACTATCCTTGATGATGCACTCAGCAAGGTCAAGGATGGAGCAAACGATGCATATAGCAAGTTCCACCATATTGGCTACGATGTCGAGGCATGGCTAGAGGGCGAGGATTTTGACGACAGCGTCATCGACCTTGATCACCCCCATGGCCCTCACCATGGCAAACCCGACCATCCGCCACACCACGGCAACCCTCACCACCCACCGCATCACGAGGAGCCAAACCGAACCGTTTACGAGCTCATCAACGAGAGCAAGTACACTACAAAGCTAGCTAAGCTGATCAACGAGTTTGATGATGTCGTCGAGTTATTGAATGGCACTGCAGCCAACTATACCATTTTTGCCCCGACGGATGAGGCTTTTGAGAAGATCCCCAAGAATCACCCAAAACCATCAAAGGAGTTCTTGAAGGAAGTTCTCTTGTACCACGTCACTGACAGCTTGTACCCTGCTGGTCGTGTTCTCCACAGCTTCACCATCCCTACTCTATACACAACCAGCAAGAACCTCGGTCACGCTCAGCGTCTAACTCCCCGAGTCACATTTAAGGGCCCCACAATCAACTACTACAGCCGCCTTGTAGCTGTAAACATCTTTGGAACCAACGGCGTTGTTCACGGCGTCGACCACATCCTTGTGCCTCCTCCCAATGTTGCCACCATCATCGATCTGCTCCCTGGCTCCTTCAGCACCCTGGAGCTTGCTCTCACCAAGACTGGTATCTATGACTGGCTCAACACGACCCAGTACGAGCACAACGGTGGCACCTTTTTCGCCCCAAGCAACTACGCTTTCAAGAAGCTCGGTCCTAGAGCCAATGCCTTTCTTTTCTCAAAGTATGGCGAGAAGTATCTCAAGGCTCTCCTAGAGTACCACTTGGTCGTTGACGAGACCCTTTACACGGATGCCTTTTTCGATGGATCCGACGAAGACGATGATGATGACGACGAGTCTGCTAAAGACCGCCCAGATTACTACCACTACGACCTCCCCACCGTGCTGGATGACAAGTACCTTGCTGTCGATGTTACGCGTTACGGACCTTTTGCCGAGATCCGAATCAATGGTTTCTCGCGCGTCACTATCCACGATGGTATTGCCAGTGACGGTGTCATCCAAGTCGTTTCTGATGTTCTCATTCCACCCAAGAACGCTGGTGGCGAGCAAGTCTTCTGGGATGGCGAGGAGCTTGATGTCGAGGATCTCAAGGAGCGTCTTGAGCCTTTTGTTGACAACATGGAGTTGTAGAGTCGCACATACCCCACCAACCACCATGCATCTCGTGTTGAAGTGAAGAACGGATTATGTAGCCACTGTGGCATTGGACAATCTTTAAAAAACATTTTCACTTTTACATAGCCTTGTCTTCAAACTGAAGCAGGTACCCTCACACTAGTACGTGTATGATCTTAGGTAGCTCAATGAATAAGAACAGATTCAATATAGGAGTTACGTTGGTTTACGTGAATACCATGCTCTCTCGATCGATTGGTGAAATCAGAAAACCTCGGCCAAGCGGGCTGCTAGCCTTCCAACACGAGCAACCTTTACTATGAAATTTTAGCATGGTGGTATGAGTTTGAGAAGAAAGTTCGGAAAATCAGTCCACGTCATACTAACTGTCGTATAGCGCCTGTGGAGGAGAATAGCTTCTGGTGACAAGAGCTCAGGTAATCTTTGTATTGATTACTGCTCCATGCAAGATAGAGCAGCCGAAGTATGTATATGGTGAGCCTACGGGGCTAGGCTCACCGCAGACTAGTGCAGAGCAAATGAAATGTACCGAAACGAGCTCGGTAAACAGTATTCTCCCGCGCTACAGCATCTAATTGAGATACACGTCTCCACCATACCCCTAAGCCTTACGCCAAACCAGCGCGAAAAACGAACTGAAGTTGCCAAGGTCTACACTCAGGAAAAGTCTTCGCCGCCCTCCTCAATTGTGTTCTTGATCCGCAGCAGAAGCGTAGTCTTCCACTTATCCAGCTTGCTCAGCTGATCAAATTGAAATAGCTACATCACATTAGCACTTCTTTTCCCACCTCCTTCTCAAACACAGTGATGACATACCTTGTCAGCAAACATCTCCTGATCGCCATCCTGCACCGCTGCCGTAAGATCAACCAGCAGCGCATACTCCCTCTGCTGCTGAAAGCTAGGATCAATCTCCCTGTACTTCTCAAGCGCGGTATTAACGCCGACTTGGTCACCTGTGCATAGCTGGCAGATACCAGCCTTGAGAAGGTATTCCTTGACGGACCAGCGCATGAGGTTGTTGGCGATGGATGCCTTTGCCACCTTTTCATAGAGCTCAATGGCCTTGTAGTAGTCTTTGCCCTCTAGGGCAATGAGGTCGGCTGTCTTGAGCCAGAGCTTGTTTGCAAGTGCCTGCGAGTGAGGGTTAGTCATGGCCAAAAAATTAGAGGATGCTTGGGTAATAATTACTTCAGCGTTGTCCTAGGTCTATGTTAGCGTTCATGTTTTTACAAAGCGTTGAGCGATGGAGTATATAAGTATATGGGGACTTACACTCTCGTACCAACCAGCTGCCTCTTCATAAGCAGCTGCCGCACGCATGTTGTCGCCAAGCTCGACTTCATAAAGTTCGCCGAGATTCTGCTTGTGAGTAGCTGCGCGGCGGAAGTTGCCTTTGTTGCAGTAGTGTGTAATGGCCTTGTCTAGACACCTTGCCGCCGCCTCTGGGTCATCTTTTCGGTAAGCCTCTGATCGCATTAGCCACGTATATAAATAAAACAGTCTCTAGGGACTTTACTGAAGGCATCTGTCAAAGTGTTTGCCTCATCGTCAGGCTCGTTCAGGTGTTGGCGTTGAACTGATGCTGCTTTCTCAAAGGCTTCACCGGCTTCCTTGCCTGGGACCAGTCAGTATCTCAGAGTGAGGCTGAATTGAACAGCTCTTCAATCAATATCTTTGGGAGTTCATTTTCATACCCATCTTTTGCATTCGGAACGCATTTGCTGCGGCGATGAACTGTTCGGCGGCTGCCTCGTCTGTCACGTGCGTCAGTGTTGCAACACTCCCGTGTCATCCGCCAGCCCTTACACTTCTCTTGTTTCCCTCCGAAGAAACTGAAGCCACCCGACGCCTTCTGTAGTGATGTCTCTGCCTAGTAAAGCACACGAACATTAGTTATCTGCATGGTGGCTGAGCCTGAGGAGGAGGCCCCACCTGTCGCAGCAATGCCCTGGGATCACCGGCCATGTTTGCTGGGTATGCGATGTGTGGTGTATAGTAGCGGATGTGTGAGAGACCTTTTAGAAGAAGAGGAAATTGTATTGAAACTTGGGTTGGAACAGGTGGCTGCGCTCGCTGTCTTCATGGGCGGCGATGACGACCCACGCTGGGCTGGTCCATGCGAGACCCGCGGGGCACCGCCAATGGCGCGCTAGTGCTTTGCAGGTGCCTCAACCACGACTGAACTTTTGGCGACGACACCGTCCGTGTTTCGTCTGGGCTTCAGCTTTTTTTTCGGACGCTGATTTCGGGAAACAAAATAAAACTCAACTGGAAAAGTAAAAAAATTGGTTCCTTACAGCGAAGTTCCCTTCTACGGAACTAAAACACACCATGGCAAATCGTCGCGTCTTTGTGGCTGTGAAGCTCTACAAGCCGACACAATGCTTGCAAATACGGTCATTTACGCCTTCAGCCCTACGGCTAGAAAAGGATCCTAAGGAATCCGCGCACCCACGGAAAAACGTCGGCATCCATCCCAGCGAACTCGAGCAGCTTCTCGCAGAGCCCACCTGGTCCGTCGAGTCCCTCCTTCCACCAAAGACCCGTGCTCCCGATGCCCCGCAAGTCACTTCGCAGCAGCTACACCACCTGCTGCGACTGTCAGCTCTCCCGCCCCCGGAGACGCCAGAGCAAGAGAAGAAGATGCTAGATACGCTGGCAGCACAGCTACACTTTGTGGGCAAGATACAAGAAGTGGACACTACTGGCGTGAAGCCTCTCCGGGCTATACGCGACGAGACTGCG